GGGAAGGGAAGGGAAGGGAAGGGAAGGGAAGGGAAGGGAAGGGAAGGGAAGGGAAGGGAAGGGAAGGGAAGGGAAGGGAAGGGAAGGGAAGGGAAGGGAAGGGAAGGGAAGGGAAGGGAAGGGAAGGGAAGGGAAGGGAAGGGAAGGGAAGGGAAGGGAAGGGAAGGCAGCATACCGGCTGTGTGGTGTAATAGTTGATGCACATTTTGACAGCCGATGCTGATGTCACGTTGACCGTCACTCCTGCCGTGAGGTTGCTGCTGCAATCAATGGTCTGATGGGATGAGAGGTGGAAGGATTGGGATGAAAAATGGGGTGAAAATGGATGAAGGAAACACCTATGTGCATAGCAATTTCCGCATGCGTGGAGGCATGTTGGCGTGCGCATGTTGGCATGTGCATGTTGGCATGTGCATGTTGGCATGTGCATGTTGGCATGTGCATGTTGGCATGTGCATGATGGCATGGGCACTCATGAGACACACCAGATTCATGGTTTGGAACTCAGTAGAGGTGATGTTGTTTGCATGTGCATGTGCATGTCGGCATGAGCATGTGCATGTCGGCATGAGCATGTGCGTGTCGGCATGAGCATGTGCGTGTCGGCATGAGCATGTGCATGTCGGCATGAGCATGTGCGTGTCGGCATGAGCATGTGCGTGTCGGCATGAGCATGTGCGTGTCGGCATGTGCATGTGCATGTCGGTGATGTTGTTTGCATGTGCATGGGACGCACCGGGTTCATGGTCTGGAAGTCAGTGGTGGTGATGTTGTTGGCAGCACAGATGGTGTCGCATGTGTCTCCCGCTTGGATGGTGTATGTGGTCGATGCGATGGGCGCTGCATTGGTGTGGGGGAGGGGAAGGGAGGGCAGGGGAAGAGAGGGGAGGAGAGGGGAGGAGAGGAGACAAGCGATGAAGAGAGGAGAGGAGAGGAGAGGATGGTGTCGCATGTGTTTCCCTCCTGGGATGGTGTATGTGGTTGACGAGATGGGCGCTGCCATTGGTGGAAGGGTGGGAGGGGAGGAGGGGAAGAGGGGAGGAGGGGAGGAAAGAGACATGGGAGAGATGAGAGGAGAGAGAAAACGGAGTGGAAAGGAGAGAGGAAGTTTGGAGTCGCCTTAAAACTATATGTGCACACTCACTCAATCACACTCACTCAACCACACTCGCGCCGCAGAACTATACGTGCAGGGAAAGCAGGTGGCCGAGTGATTGTAGCCTGCTTTGAGGCATTCCACACACACGAGCAACCATGTTGTGTTGTGCCCTGTTGTGAGACGGCTATAAACTAGACGTACGCGGAATGCAGGTGGCCATGCCGTCGGGGCGAGCAGTGGAGGTGTAGTTGGCAGGGCACGTGCAGTTGTAGCCGCCCAAACCATCGTCCATACACGTGCCGGCCCCACAGGGGTTCTGCAGCTGCAGCATACACACCGTTTCTGGTGTGGGGAAAAGGAAGAGGGGGGAAGGAGAGAGGTGCAGGAGACGAGGGCCAGAAGTCCTGTTTAAGAGCCTTCTCCCCGCACCATCGTCCATGCATGTGCCGGCCCCACACAGGTTCTGCAGCTGCAGCATGCACACTGTCTCTGGTGAAGGGGGGACAGGGATGGGCGAGGGAGAGAGGAGAGGCATGCAGGATCAGAGGTGGGAGGTTGAGAGCCGGCACGCTCATCACACATACACACAGAAACACACACCCGGCCATGCATGCATGCATGCACGCACGCATGCACGCACATGCACGCACACACATGCAGTTGTAGCCCTCCACACCATCGTCCATGCCCGTGCCGGGTCTACAGTGGTTCTGGATCTGCAGCATGCATTCCCGGCTCCATCGTTCATGCACTCCCCTCCCCTCTATCCGCACAAGCACTTACTGACGATACAGGTGTCGGTGCCGCCCACGTTGACCGCAGGGATGAGGAATGGCTCGTTGGCGCAGTCACAGGAGTAGTACTGCTTCGGCTTCTCCCCACCTTCATGCTCAGTGCTCACCCCTTAACCGTAATCAGCACGCGGCATGAGGCACTTACTGACGATACAGGTGTCGGTGCCGTCGACGTTAACAGCCGGGATGAGGAACGGCTCGTTGGTGCAGTCACACGAGTAGTACTGCTTCGGCTTCTCCCCTGGCTTCGGCGGCAGCGGCGGGTCCGAGCACTTGCCTGCGCCGCAGGGGAAGCCGGCACACCACTTGCCGGGGACGGCTGAAGGGGGAGGAAGACAGGAGGGAGAGTGAAGAAGAGGGGGGAATGTGAGTCAGGCCGGAGCACTTGCTGGCACTGCAGGAGAAACCAGCGTACCACTTGCCGGGGACGGCTGAGGAGGAGGGAAGTGGGGAGAGGATGGAGAAGAGGACGAAGAGAGGAGTGAGGTGAGGGGAGTGGGGGGGGGGGGAAGGGTGGGCTGTTTTGGAATGCACATGGAATGAGAATAGAAAATACAGGGTAGTAACCCTAGACTCACCAGGCAGCATGGGGTAGTAGCCCGGTTCGCTCCACATGCTGCAGTATCCAAACGGCGAGCGGTCAAACCCAATCCTCATGTGCCCGTTGTCGCCCCACGTGGTGCCCCAGCTGTTGCGCAGAATGAAGTAGCTGCCTGGCAGCCCCGGTCCTCCAGGTGCCTAGTGCTCCTCCCCACAAGGGAACGTGTGAGGTGACCCAAAGGGCAAGCGAGCGACCGTACACTCAACTCACCAGGCAGCATGGGGTAGTAGCCCGGTTCGCTCCACATGCCGCAGTATCCAAACGGCGAGCGGTCAAACCCAATCCTCATGTGCCCGTTGTCGCCCCACGTGGTGCCCCAGCTGTTGCGCAGAATGAAGTAGCTGCCTGGCAGCCCCGGTCCTCCAGGTGCCTAGTGCTCCTCCCCACAAGGGAACGTGTGAGGTGACCCAAAGGGCAAGCGAGCGACCGTACACTCAACTCACCAGGCAGCATGGGGTAGTAGCCCGGTTCACTCCACATGCCGCAGTATCCAAACGGCGAGCGGTCAAACCCAATCCTCATGTGCCCGTTGTCGCCCCACGTGGTGCCCCAGCTGTTGCGCAGAATGAAGTAGCTGCCTGGCAGCCCAGGTCCCTCCAGGTGATACCCCACCAGCACCACCACGTGATTCACCATACGGTTGGCAAAGCACGTCTTATCCGTCAGTATGCTCGTCTGGGCGGGTGGGAGGGGGGAGGAGGGGGGTTGCGGAGAGTAGGGGGTGTGCGAAGGGAAGGGAGGGTGGGTTACAGAGGCGTGACAAAAGCGTCGCGGTTGGCAAAACACGTCTTATCCGTCAGTATGCTCGTCTGTGGGGGGGTTCGCGGAGAAAGGGGGTGTACAAGGGGTTAGGGAGAGTTAGTGAGGCGTCTCAGAGGAGCTGCTTCTGCCCCTCCAGGTGATACCCCACCAGCACCACCACGTGGTTCACCATGCGGTTGGCAAAGCATGTCTTATCCGTCAGTATGCTCGTCTGGAATAAGGGGAGGAGGGGGGAGGAGATAGGTGGGGAAAAGCGGGTTGGGGAAGAAACCATCCTGCTCAGCCGCCACATGCCCCACCACCATGAGCACACGCACCCAGTAACGCACCCCACCGCTTCCCACCACTTCCCACCGCTTTCCACCACATTCAACTCACCCCATTATAGTTCAAAAAGCAGTCCTGGTCGGCCTCCACGTGCACGACCACGGGTTGGAACTGCAGTGCCAGCATGAGCCCCACGGGACCCAGCAGATTCGCCTTCTCGTAGAACCTCACCATCGCCACTCCTGGATTTGTCTGGATCTGTGCGGTGGGGAGCGGTTGAGAAGGGTGGGGAGGGGTAAGAAGGGGATGAGAGGGAGTTCGCAGACTCGCACGCTCTAGAACCGCAGTGCTGGTATAGTGGGAATGGCCGAGATTTAGGGGGCTGGTGGAAGATGCAAGGTGAAGAGGTAAATCAAGTGGAAATGAAAAACGATTTGAACCAGGTGAACTCTGTTTCGATTGAAGGATGAAATAAAGTAATGAAATGCTGGACTGGAATAAAAGAATGTAGCGAGAAGCAATTTTCGACTTGCAATTATCGTGTTGCATGCTTGTGCGCGCGCGCGCTTACAATGCTCTTGTTACACGCCGTGTTGTCATTCGCCATGTACGGATGCGCCGCGGCGGACACGAGCGGATTCGCGATGAAAGGCGAAATGGAAGCTGGGGGTGCTCGCGTGTCGCATGCTGTTCGCTTACAATGCTCTTGTTACACGTGGTGCTGTCATTCGCCATGTACGGGTACACCGCATTGGACACTAGCGGATTCGCGATGGCGTATTCGAACGCGTCCGTCGTGTACCCGCCGTCGCAGTCGTCAATTCCGCACGTCAGCATCTGCTGCACCGACACGCGCTGCGGCGGCTGGATGCGGTAACCCAGTAACGCGCCGTCGATCGCCGACGCTGCTGCGAACGCCCAGCAGGAACCTGAGGCGGGGGAGGGGGGGCCGGGGTGGGCGGGGCGGGGCGGGGACAGGAGGTTCGAGGGGACATTAGCGGGGCGGGGAGGTTCGTGCACAACGACGACGCTCTGACGAGGCGAGCAGCGGTAATCGATGACTGCACACACAAGCCGGCACCCACTGCCAGAACCAGCAGCAGCGCTCACTGCACCGACATACATCAGCGCGGCCACTCACTGCAGAGGCTGGGCGAGTCCTGATCCACAACGGCCGACAGGTTGGCGCGCCAGTCGACGTTGCTGTGCTCCTTGAGCGCCCAGCTTGCCGTGTTGTTGCTCTTCTCGATCTTCAGCGACACGGACGCGTAGTGGAACCACTTGTTCAGCATCGGCTTCGAGTCGTTGCGCGGCACAGGCAGCCCTCCCAGGGACCGGTCGCCGATGCGCGCTGAGTGGGGGGGGAGTGGGGAGAAGCGGAGAAGGGGGTATACATTCAGTTGATGGGTGCACGGTGTGTCAAGGGTCGGACTCCAGGCGTTCAGCCTTGGCAGCGACACGGGGGTGGGGGGAGTGGGGGGTACACGCTCAAACGATTGGTGCCAGGTGGTGACAAGGACCGGACTCCAGGCGTTCAGCCTTGGCAGCGACACAGGTCGTATCCCTGGCTGGTGGCAAGAAGTTGGTGGCAAGAACTTCGCGCACGATTGGTTAAAAGAAAACGCTTGACCAATCGCATTGGCCGGGCGTCGTTTTGGACCAATCGCGTGCGCAAACAACTTGCCACCAACTTCTTGCCACTAGGCTGGGATACGACCACAGACGCGTAGTGGAACCACTTGTTCAGCATGGGCTTCGAGTCGTTGCGCAGGACGGGCAGCCCTCCCAGGGAGCGATCGCCCACGCGCGCTGAGGGGAAGGAAAGCGGGGGGAACGGGACAAAAAGGTGCGGGGCAGTAAGTTGATAGGATCGGACACCACCGGCTCATCATGGGCCGCGAGTCGTTGCGCGGGACGGGCAGCCCTCCCAGCGGGCGATCGCCCACGCGCGCTGAAGTGGGGTGGGGGGGGGGGGGAGTGGGAGGGAGTGGGGGGTACACGCTCCAATGATTGGTGCCAGGTGGTGCCAAGGACCGGACTCGAGGAGTTCAGCCTTGGCAGCGACATGGACGGACGCGTGGTGGAACCACTTGTTCAGCATGGGCTTCGAGTCGTTGCGCGGGACGCGCAGCTCTCCCAGGGAATGGTCGCCGATGCGCGCTGCGGCGTGGGGGAGTGGGGGAACACGAGGAGGTGGTGCGGTGGGGGGATATTTTCAGGTGCGCAGTAGAGTCGATAATTGGACCCTGCCGGCTCAGCATGGCTTTTGAGGCGATTTTCAGGTGCGCAGTAGAGTCGATAATTGGACCCTGCCGGCTCAGCATGGCTTTTGAGGCGCCTCAAAAGATATTTTCAGGTGCGCAGTAGAGTCGATAATTGGACCCTGCCGGCTCAGCATGGCTTTTGAGGCGCCTCAAAAGATATTTTCAGGTGCGCAGTAGAGTCGATAATTGGACCCTGCCGGCTCAGCATGGCTTTTGAGGCGCCTCAAAAGATATTTTCAGGTGCGCAGTAGAGTCGATAATTGGACCCTGCCGGCTCAGCATGGCTTTTGAGGCGCCTCAAAAGATATTTTCAGGTGCGCAGTAGAGTCGATAATTGGACCCTGCCGGCTCAGCATGGCTTTTGAGGCGCCTCAAAAGATATTTTCAGGTGCGCAGTAGAGTCGATAATTGGACCCTGCCGGCTCAGCATGGGCCGCGAGTCGTTGCGCGGGATGGGCAGCCCTCCCAGCGAGCGATCGCCGACGCGCGCCTGGGGTGGGGGGGGAGTGGGGGGAGCCGGGGGAGGAGGGGAGAGTGGAGGGAATGGGGAGAAACGGGCACGCGTTCAGTCGATAGGCGCGCGGTAGTGTCACGATCGAGCAGAGCGCCACCAGGTCGCTTTTGAGATTCTCAAAAGCGACTCGGATTTACACGGTAGTGTCACGATCGAACAGAACTCCTCCAGGTCAGCATCAGCCGCGCGTTGTTGCGCACGCCTCCCAAAAAGCGATCGCCGACGCGCGCTGAGGCGGGAAGGATTAGGGGAAAGGGAGCGGCGGGTAAGCAGGGTGAAGGCGAGGGGGAACGGGGGCGAAAGGCTACACTTGTAAGGCTGCAGGGGGGTCGTTGCGCGGGAAGGAGGCAGGCCATTTAGCGGAAAGGGGAAGATTGCTGGCGCGAACTGAAGTGGGGGAAAGAGGGAAGGGGAGCGCGACGGTATAGGCAAGGGGATGAATGGGCAAGTCGACAGCAGGAGAACAGCGAGACAATACGTTGGAGCGAGCCGAAGCTGTAACAAGGCGCAACCGTAGCCAGGTGCAGCTGTAGCGAGGCGCAACCGTAGCCAGGTGCAGCTGTAGCGAGGCGCAACCGTAGCCAGGTGCAGCTGTAGCGAGGCGCAACCGTAGCCAGGTGCAGCTGTAGCGAGGCACAACCGTAGCCAGGCGCAGCTGTAGCGAGGCACAACCGTAGCCAGGCGCAGCTGTAGCGAGGCGCACTTCCTGCATCCCGAATCCTAGAGAGACGGGCAGCGCCTTTCCGCGGGATCGGACAGCGCCTCACGCGCGGGTCGCAACTCACTGGGGAAGTAGCTCGGCGGGGCCGTCGGATCGCCGGATGGCCCCCCCGCTCCCCCTCCTCCCCCGCCAGTAACATTCCCGCCGCCACTAGCGCCACCGCCACCACCGCCAGTAACATTCCCGCCGCCACTTACGCCACCTCCTCCCCCCTCAGTACCATTCCCGCCGCCACTAGCGCCACCACCTCCGCCGTTAGGATCACCGGACCCAGCTCCCCCGCTTCCGCCTTCGCCGCCCGCTCCGCCATCACCGCCCGCTCCCCCGCCTCCGCCCCCGGTCTGCGCGGGGGCGGCGGAAGCGGTGACGTCGAAGCCGAGGAGCGTGTGCGCGGAGTAATACTTTGCGCCCGTGCTCGCGCTGAACCCCATGTATAGCGCCGTGCTGCCGGTGGGGTCGTTTGGCGGGCCCGGAAAGAGTGCGCACGGGTCGAAGCTTGTAACGAACGTGTTCTTAGCGGGGCGGCTCTTGGCGGTGTTGAGGAATACGGAGAGTTGCTTCGTGGTGGAGTTGTAGTCGATCCAGACGTATTTGATTTTTGCGTCCTTGAGCGAGGGAATGGCTGCCTTGCTAACGGACACAGATCGGACGGACGCGTTTAGGTTGAATCCGATGTGCGGCGTGGCCTTGTCCCATTGGTCCCTGGAAGGAAAAAATTGTGGAAGAAGCGGGAATTCATGAGAGGAAGAAAAATAGTCCCTCTCAAACAGGAATGCACACACTTGAAGGAAGTCAAGTCGAATTCGTTTCACCGCTAAGTGCGGCACTTACTTAAACGTGTCGAACTCCACCGCGAAGCTCGGCACGTCGCCCGTCCCGCCCCACCCGAGGAACCCGCTGTCGTCGCCCGCCTCCCACGCCGCGTCCGCCGTCACGAAGAACGTCAGGCCTTGCCCCGCCTTCGCTACGCCGTTCTTTGCGGACGCCACCGCGAATGCGAACGACGCGGAAAACTCCAGCGGCGCGCAGCTGCCGGCGGAAGAGGCGCGGTCGGTGAGGACGATGGCGGAGGGGTTGAGCGCGCCGCCCGCCAGCAGCGCGGCGTCGGAGGTGAGAGTGACGGCGGGGCACTCCTTGTAGGTCGCGCTGAGCGCGTCGCCGGAGAGCACGAAGTCCGAAAGGGAGTTTGCGAATGAGCAGTCTGCGGCGCCGCGAGGGGGTGTGCGGGAAGTGGGGGTGGGGGAGAGAGGAAAAGGGGGAGAAGTTCTGAGCTTGACTCAAAAGTAGGACGGGAGAGGTGGCGAGACCGCCGGAGACTGCTGACGCCAACGACGGGGAGGCTGACGTCTGTTTGTGAGTCGACTCAAAATCAGACTCACTACAACGGGAGAGGTGGTGAGGAGATCGCTAGTGACTGCTGACGCCAACGACGAAAAGGCTGACGTCGACGGTGGGAGAACGTCGCAATCTCTACCGTTACTAATAACGCTCAGCGTCAAACTTAACTAGACCACCGGCAAGCCCGCAGTACACAACCAATGAGAGGCTCTGGGACTTGCGATAACACGAGCCCTTCGACGTTTTGGTCCAGCGGCGGACCTGCGGAAATAGCGACGCGCATTCTGCGCTGCAATGCGAAGTTCCCAGCACTCGCGCGCCGCGTTGTTTGTCCGACACTGCGCATTTGCGATTCTCGTCCGCGACTCTCCCTTGCAAGCAAGTGGCTCGGAAAAGTACATCCACTAACCAGGCGGTGGGGGAGGCGACGGGGGCGGCGGTGACGGCGGGGGCGGCGTGGCCGGGGGCGGCGATTTAGGAGTCTTTTTCGTACTTCTTCCGGCAGATGCGCCGTGCAACGCGGATATGCACAGGAGAGCCAGAGGTAGAAGCAGAGCTAGCCGCATATTCTGGTGACGCGAAGGTCTCCGCTGCTGCGACGCGTCCCTCCGCCGCCATTGCGACGAAGCACGAACACTACTCGAGGCGCTTCGTAAATCGATACTTTGGTTTGGATGTAACATTTTGGTTGGTGTGTCGTCACGATGCGCAACGGCTTGCAGTCCACACAAGCCAATGAATCGGCGATAAGAATCGACGGTAAGAGCGTCGCGAGTTGGAGGGGACTCCTTTTGTACACCGTGCAAGCAGCCGGAAATGACTCCTTTCACTAGTGACAGTCTATCTCCGTTTTGAGCCCGCTGATTCGGACGAGGGACTCGTCGATGCGAGACACGACCGACGATGAAGTGGGGCGACGGAGGATGAGGTTGCAGGAGAGGCCCCAAGCCCGACGAAAGTGGTCCAGTCACCCACTTCGTGTGTGTTCGAGAAGAAAAACGAAGACTTTTGCCTGTTGGAGAGGAAAAGGCTCGAGTTGAGGGCTATTTTCAGGGAGAAGCAGCGAGGAGGCAGGGGGAGGGAGGGAGGGAGAGAGGAAGGAAGGATGACGGACGATGTTGGTCTGTGCAACAGAATCCGTTTCCGCATTTCGCACGAGGGGAGGTCAGAGGTGGTGGTGAATCGGACAAAAGGACCTTTGTGCTCCGTTCTGGTGAGTTCGTGTCCGTAGGCTTGACATGTCAAGTGAGAGCGAGTCAACCCGAAGCGCATTCAAATTAGCGTGTAAAACATTGTAGCTGAAGTGTCAAGTCGAAGCGCATGTACGAACATCAGCGACGGAATTTCATTGGTTTGAGAATTTGTCATGGGTGGATCTGCCAGGTAGCGAACAATTCAAAAGACAGATTGTGTGCTGATTGGGCAGCATCTGGTCGTGAGATAGGCACCTGCGACCATCTTCTCTCGTTTGTAGGTTTGACTGTGCCAATTTAGAAAGTGTCCGACGATTTGTATTGGATGGCAACATGCAATTTCTTGACACCCTGCCAACAATGTTGGCTGAGTGTCAAAATGCCAAATTGACACTTTGCTTTGACATGTCATCCCTACGGACACGACCTGAGATCCAAGTGCAAGTTTACGACAAATTGGGGCACCAGTTCTGCCCGTGACAAGCGTGCACTGGGAAGAACCTACATAAATTTCTTTCAAGAAGGAAGTAACCGCATGTAATTCCTTTTAACTTTTTGCTCAAGAAAAGTTATTTCTTCGACAGACCCAAAAGAGCAACAGCACAAGTTCCTCTTGTTGTCCCAGCGCAATTTCCGCCCCACCTGAGGCGGATTCGCTGCCGCGGGTTCTTGTGTTTCCGCCCCACCTTCGCCCGTTTTGGCATCTGTTTCGGCAGTATCTCACGAATATCCTAAATGCTAGTGAGAAACACCCCGACCGAAATACTGTACAGTACATCGATCTTCTCTTCCATTCTTCTGAAGAGCATATGTTTGATCGCCTCGCCTCGCCGCACCTGAATGTTCAGGAAATGGCTCGCGCCGCAGGAGCTTGTTGTCCCCAAACATGGTGGTGGTGTGGCATGAGCTCGGTTCAGGTCAGGGCGGCCGTCAACCACGCTGCGCCACTTCCGTCATGAACTGATTTCTGTTGAGGGCGTGAATCGTCACACGCAAATGACGGGGTCGCACTCACGACGAACAGAGGAGGCCGAAAGTGTCGGTCCGTCAGCTTCTGCCTGTTGCCAAGAGTGCTGCTGCTGCCGAATACTGTACACTTTCCCCTGCCTGACCTGAACCAGGTTCAGGCCGAACCATCAATCGAACGTAGCCCATGAATCAGAAATTGTTTCTACCGGTATGAAATATCTTCGTACCAATCGGGTGTGAACCTTGGCATTCACTTAAGCAAAATTCCGTATCGACGCAGCCTTGATGGTTGAGGAAAAAATGCTTCTGCTCTCCATTCAAAACATAGGCTTCAGGATCCGTGGTGATGTTGACGAAGAAAATTGTTGACTTGGGACACACCTGTGGTCGTGGAACTGTGGGATATCCTCCCCTCGATTCGTTTCGGTATGGTCTGTCGCTGATACCGTATCTATGTGGTCATAGACTGTAGCGCTTTTGATGTGGCTTCTTAGCATGGAATAGCACTCTCCCTAGCACAGAAAAATGTGGCATGCTAATTCGGTCTTCGTGAATTTACTCGTTCACCCTTACACAATCAAACGCACTGGAATAATTTTCCAATTGACTAACACTCATCACGGATCACAACGCACTGTGCTCTGCGCCCCATATGCAACTAAAATGCTGCCTTAGCATGTAGTACTTGCAACCCATGCTCCCTGGTCGCAACCAGCCAGAAGAGTAGCCTGACACATGCTAATCCTCATTTTGTAACAGTGGAGTGGACACACAAACACACATGCTATTCTTGTGGAAAGCCAGTGGTGGGGTTGACCCGAGAACCCTCTAGTGAGCGCGACACAATGTGGGGCCCGGGGCCTGGGCGGGTGAGCAGAATGTACTTGAGAGGTGGTGGGGAGAAGGAGCCGCCTGATGCTGTGCCTGCTTCTGATGGTGACAATGATTGCGGAGTTGGTTGTGCTTGGGAAAGAGCCTCCATAGAGACGAGGGAGGTATCACCAGTGAGGAAGCTGCACGCGGGGAGAGTGAGGAGAGAGTGAGGGAGACTCAGCCAGGGGTGTGGTTGTTGTGGTGAGAGGGTTACAGGGTGTTGAACAACAAGCGTGGGGCGAGGAGTGAGGGGTGAGAGGAGTGGGTAATATATACGGGGAGAGGGATGGGATGGGATGTGGCTGCTTCACCGCGAGAAGGGGAAATCATCGAAAGCGCACTGATGGCACGGCTTTGGATGCATGGTTGATGAGCAGATGAAAGTGAAAGTGCGCATGCATGTATGGGTCGATCAGGGAAGAGGTTGTTGTGGGTTGCCTGGTCAGGGTGGCGGATGGGATAGTACCTGGAGAGCGGGGTGCTGGCAGAGAGAGATTTTTTTTTTTTTTTTTTTTTTCCGCTACGAAGAAAAAGTAAAAGGTTAGGGCAGGGGGGTACGTGGAGAGAGGAGTGATGGCGGGTGGGGGAATATCTGGACAGGAGAGTGGTGGTGGGCAGGTCTGAGCAAATTCAACTAAAAACATTGGGATTTGGGAGTGGTGGTAGGGAAATACCTGGAGAGGGGGGTGGTGGCGGGTGGGGGGAAGCGTTGCAGGAAGGCGGAGAGGAACTGCGTGGCGTTGTGGCGCTCCACAAACATGACTGCATTGGGACCTGCGTCAAACGTGTACGCTGCCTGGTGTGGGGGAGAGAGGCGGGGGGGAGTGGCGGGGAAGAGGAGGAGCAATCGGAGGGGAGAGGGAGGGGAAGGCTGTGGCGTTGTGGCGCTCCACAAACATGACTGCATTGGGCCCCGCGTCAAAGGTGTACGCTGCCTGGTGCGGGGGAGAGGGGGATGGTTCAGGGAGGAGGAAGGGAGAGGGAGGGGAAGGGTGTTAAACGTATGGCGAAAGGGTAGGGCTCTCGACAAACACACATGCGCTGGGACCAGCATCAAATGCGCATGCTGCCTGGTGTGGGGGCGAGAGGCGATTGGGAGGGAGGAGAAGGGGAAGGGGGGGTTGGGGTTGGAGGGGAAGAGCAAAGAGCGGAGTGAGGCGCAGTGTGATGGGTGGTGCCTCGCTCAGCAGAAACGAATGACATTGAACAGCTATGCTGCGTGGTGTGATGTGATGTGATGGGCGAAGTGGAATGAGAGAATCGGGTTTTGCAGGAGGAGCAGAGTGACCCTGTTAATACGGACACACAAGCAACCAGCACGGTACAGCCCCACTCTGGCCCTTCACTCTGCTGATTCCCCCGCAATACACTCAGCCTCAACTAGATCGCACTCATGCGCACCCCCCCCCCCGCCCCCCCCCCCCCCCCGCGCCCCGCTGCACCTCTCTGCATCCACAAGAACCTACCCTGGGCTGCTCCCCCTGCGCATTGAACTCCTCCACGAAGCCAATCACGCGGCGCGACGTGGCGTTGAGATACGAGTTGGCAAGTGCACGCATACATGTACTCACCTGCACCTCACAAGAACCTACCCTGGGCTGCTCCCCCTGAGCGTTGAATTCCTCCACGAAGCCAATCACGCGGCGCGACGTGGCGTTGAGGTAGAAGATGGGCGGCGCCGTGTCGAGGCACGTGGCATGGAACTGGTTGCTGTCGGCGCAGGTCAGCCGGGCGAACGCTGGGAAGTCGCGCGCTGCAATGGCTGCCTCCATTGCTGTGATTCGCTCCGGTACCACATGCTGGGGGGATGGGGGTGCGGAGGGAGAAGGGAAGGGGAAGGGAGGCACGTCAGTCAGGGAAGCTAGGGAATTCTGGACTGCAATGGCTGCCTCCATCGCTGTGATTCGCTCCGGTACCACGTGCTGTGGGAATGGGGTAGGGGCAAAGGAGGGCAAGAAGGGCACGTGGCGTGGAACTGGTTTCTGTCCGCACACGTCAGCTGGGTGAAGGAGAGGAAGCCGCGCGCTGCAATGGCTGCCTCCATTGCTGTGATGCGCTCTGGTACCACGTGCTGAAGGGGGGGAATAGGATGGCAGGGAGGGGAAGGAAGGCACGTGGCATGGAACTGGTTGCTGTCGGCGCAGGTCAGCCGGGCGAAGGACGGGAAGTCGCGCGCTGCAATGGCTGCTTCCATTGCTGTGATTCGCTCCGGTACCACGTGCACTCAGTAGCACTCGGACCAAACACGTGCGCTCGTCACACAGGGGCCCCTCCTGGCCTCTTGCTTTCATCCGCCCCTCCCATGCTCTTCACCCGCCCTTCCCCACCATCCGCCCCCCACCATCAGCCAACCACCCGGCTATTAACTGTTTTCCCTACCTCAGCGCGCAGGTGCAGCAGCTTGGAGGTCTGGGCGGACCGTTTCATGCCCTCGCTGCTCCCAATGTCCTTCTCCCTCTCCTCAACCTGTACATGTGAGGACAGGGGGAGTGGTTATGGGGGAGGGGAAGGGAGAAGAGGGAAGAGGAAAGGGGAATAGGGAACAGAGGGGAAGGGGGAAGAGGGAACAGAACGCCAGAGGAACGAGATGACCAGATCGCTCTAATGGGCTTCGGCCTTGACTTGTTTCGAGTTGTCTCGACTATCACACCCCTAAGTGGCATCCCTGTTCCCTCCCCCCAGTGTGCCCTCCCTCCCGCTCACCACAGCAATGATGACGACCAGATCACTCCAGTGGTCCTCTGCCTTCACTTGCCGCGCCATGCTGTCACTGCCGTCCTCTAGCTGGTGGTGGGAGAGGAGAGGAGAGGAGACACACACACACACGAGGCATGAGGCATGAGGCACAATGGAATCGGGATGCTAATTGCCACGTATTCTAAACGCTTGCACTTCTGAGAACTCTCAAAAGTGAGACAGGTATTCGACTTGACTGCCCACAATGCCAGCTCCTCTCTATCATTCCACACAGATGCCAGATGTTATGCACTATTTCACCGTTGTGAGTCAACTCTGGTTTGAGAGAGACCATGGCCGCAGCAGGTGGCGATACGTGAGAAACGTATGATCAGGGGGAACGGAGGAACGAGGGAGAGTTGAGAGGGAGGCAGGGGACGGAATGACAAAGATCAGGGGGAACAGAGGATGGAGGCGGAGTAAGTGGTGTGGTGGGGTCAAGCAAACAACACGCTTTCACCCAGAGACAGTTTCACCTCACCTTGCCCTCATCATCACATCTCCCCGTATCACCTCACCTCGCCCTTGTCCCACGTGACGAATCCGCCATACAGACTCCTGCACGCGCTGCCTGATCCCATCCTGGTGCCATTGGGGAGAGGGATGACATGGAAAGGGGGAAAGGGAAGAAGGGGACCAGTGGGGGATGGGGGTGGGAGAGGTGGCTTAAGGACGGCTCAAGTGCCGTACAGACTCCTGCAAGCACCCATCCTGGTGCCATTTGGAGGACGGAGGAGGGAGGACGGGGAGGGGGAAGGGAAGAACGGGAAGCAGGAATGGAAGAAGGGGAAGGGAGGGACCTTTTGAGGAGTTTCAAAAGGCGTACATACTTCGGCTCGGCAAGAGCTGCCTGATCCCATTCTGGTGCCATTCGGAAAAGGGAGAAGGAAGGAACGGGAGGAGGGGTGATTATTGCATTTAAGGACGCATGGGTCTATCACAGGATGAGTGCTGCAGTGCATGAGGAACCGAGTTTAGAATCATGAGGCCTGGCTGGGATTCCCCATGAGCAGTTTTGCTTTGGATGCATTTGGTAACCGCAATCAGCAGCATTTGCCAGATCGGTGGTGAGTTTCAGTGGCTCACACTCGTGGCATGCTAACGAGGTTTCTGTCTGAGCAACTGGATGGAGACTAAACACCCCGAAACTTTCAATGCTCCTGCTGTACCTGGCAATGCCCTACCATGGCAACTCTTCTGCCGTACCTGGCAATGCTCCTGCCGTACCTGGCAATGCTCCTGCCGTACCTGGCAATGCTCCTGCCGTACCTGGCAACAGCTCCCGCCGTTCCTTGCAATGCTCCCGCCGTACCTGGCTATGGCTGAGAGCTCCCCCGGGTATGCCTCCTTCACTCCCATGAGCTCTGCCAGTGCGAACACTGTCAACCATGCATGACACAGGGAGGCAGGCTTGCAGGATGGCACATGGCACACAGCCGCACACGGCATGGGGCATGGGGCAGGCACAAGGGATGTAAGGGCGGAGCAAAGGAGGACAGCAAAGGAGGAATGGCAGGAAGGGGACGACCACGGAGCAATTCTTTTGCGAGTGGGTTGGGGCGCATCCTAAGGACAGGACACAGCATGCATGCGCGCAGCCCGAATCTCCTCTCCCCCAAACCTCTTCCCCCAAACCCCGCTTCACTCTAGAATCCCTCCCCGCGTCTCAATACTCACTTTTCAAAGTTCAAACGGGAACTTCCCAAACCCAGCATCCCAATCCCGCGATTCCAAATCCCCATCCCCAAACACCAACCCTCAGACAGGTGTGTTAATCTGTAAGTTCCAATATTTAACATTTTGCAAAGAATCAATCTGCAACCACGTCTGGCTTCTGCCACAGATAAGTGGTGCTCCAATTCCCGTACTTATCCCGAACTCCCAACCCCAAAACCTGAAACCCCAACCCCCCAAACCTTACTCCATCAACTCTGTCCCACCCAGCGGCAGCATTGGGATAAATCGCGGCAGCAGCAGTAGTGGGGGAACGGAGGGAAGGAGGAAGAAACAAGAGACTCACCGAGGCAGGCAAAGCCAGCAGCGGAGGAGGCGAGGCCAGCAGCAGTGGGAAAGTTGTTTGCCGACACCACGTGCACTTGCAGCTGCTGCCACTGCCCCGCTCCTATCTCCACCTCCCGCTGTTCGCTCTCTGCCCCTTTGGTTGGCAGCGCAAGCAACAGCAGCAGCAAGAAGGAAACGGGGAAGAGACTCACCAAGGCATGCAAAGCCAGCAGCGGAGGAGGCGAGGCCAGCAGCAGTGGGGAAGTTGTTAGCCGACACTACATGCACCCGCAGCTGCTGCCACTGCCCCGCTGCTATCTCCACCTCCCGCTGCTCTCCCTCTCCCTGCTCGCCCTGCTGTGCGGATGAAGCAGTGGTGTGTGGCGCGGGCAGGCGCCAGTGTGTGGTGGAAGCGCGTGCGCGCAGGGCAGCCAGGCAGTTGCCGTAGCGGTGGCTGCTCATCGCCACCTCCTGATGGCAAAGTGAGTGAGGAGGGGGGGATGGGGCAGTGGGGGATTGTTCAAGTGAGTTTTGAGTCGGCTCAAAGGCAGTTGTTGTAGCGGTGGCTGCTCATCGCCACCTCCTGTTGTTCATGCGGGTGGGTTATGGGGAGTGGGGGAAGCGGGGCGTGCTTTGATTGAAGCAGTGGAGTGTGGCACGGTCAGGCGCCAATGCGTGGTGGAGGCGCGTGCACGCAGGGCAGCCAGGCAGTTGCCGTAACGGTGGCTGCTCATCGCCACCTCCTGATGCCGGGGCGCGTGGGGAGGGGGAGTGCGGATTGGGGGAATGGAAGACGGGAGGGGAGAGGGCAGTGGGAAAGTTGAGTTTCTAGTCGACTCAAAAGTCACCTCGTTTTGAGTCGACTCAACAGCCACCTCAAATCGGCCAGACTCAATGCAGCGCTTATTGCAGTGGAATGCAGTACAATGCAATGCATGCTGCGTGAGTGCGTGTTGTGGCATGGTTTTTTTTTTTTTTTTTTTTTTTTTTTTTTTTTTTTTTTTTTTTTTTTGGTGAGTATAAGTACATTACGCATATACATACACTCGCAGTCGTAACTGATGCTAGGGGGCATGCAAGCGGTTACAAGTAACCAGGCCCCCCTTCCATCTCATGGTGGTTGGAAAGCGACACCGCCGTCCTCCCATACAGCTTTGAAACCCGCCCTCCACGTCATCGAGGCTTCAGTCTCGTACAGTCTGCTCAGAGCCTTTGCCTCATCAGCATCTAGATGGTTCCATTCCCCTGTCCTCTTCGAGCCACCCTTTACAGCCGACCGTTTCCGCACTCTGCTGTATATCTTCACGTGTCTTGTAAAACCAACCGCGATGTGCCTCAGAGCTCTTTTAGCCCGAAAGCGGCTGCCACGAAACACCGCATTGCACCTTTCCAGCCACACTTGCTGTGCTGTAATCGAAATGATTGCCGCTTCCGGGAAACCGGTCGACGTGCCATTCCTCTGGAACAGCATGTCACCGAGTGACTTCACTTCCCTGCCCGGATTCATGCACTGTACCGCTCCCTTCATCACCGCTACCACTGGTTGTATCGCTGGGCAGCTGAATAAACAGTGGTCCTGCGACTCCAACCCCCCACAGTGTACACATTTCGCCCTCTCCCCCAGGAAGGGAAGCCTCTCCCCCACCTGAAGGTTATTACTGTGCAGCCTCAGCACCACCTCTCTCGCTCTGCATGGGGTTGCCAAAGAATCCCGGACCGTGATGGCTTGTCCCCAGTCGATCTTCTTCCCCAACTCCTCCTCCCACCGCAGCTGCTGCTTGGGTTGAGACAGAGAGGGTTTAATCGCCTTCCTTATCTGCCGCAGCTCCGCACGCTCCCCCTTTTCACAGATCGGAGTGCGTAGCAACCTTGTTCTTGGTGTGCCTAGCGGGCCACGGACCCTCCCGTCAAAGACCGCCATGGGCGTAGCTCGCATGAATTCCACTGTCGTCACGTCAGCATACTTCATCTCCGATATAAAACCCTTTTTGTCCACCTCCACCATCCTTCCGTACAAAACTCCGTCCGCCACGTGTTCTAGCCGGTAGTAAAGAAATTTTCCCGGCCGATATGACGGTGAGCAGAGAAGCGTTGTTTCCCTGAACACCTCTTCCGCCGTCAACTGATTAAGCAGCAAGTCTCTGCATCCCTGGGGTGTTGCTTCCCATGCTTTGAGAGCCCACTTCATCTGGTCCACCCCTCCCAGTTCTCGTTCCAGGGCCGCCTCACTCTTAAGGCTCCTGCTACCATCTGATCCCTTGACCACCAGGTCCCCCAGACGAACGCCCTTCAGACAGAGTGAGCCTGCTTGGTTTCCGAAAGGCGAGCCACCCCTGAAGAAAATCTTGCGGTTAAAAAGCAGCTGCTCCTCCTCCGCGTCCCATCTGTGAGCAGGATCGCCCATGGTCACGATTTTTGACTCCCAAAGCGCCTTCACTGCTGCCTTCCACCTCGTGCCTCCTCCCAGCCAGTGCTTCAACATTGAGGGGTGGGCATAAATCGTGGCCAGGCCGAGCGGGAAACCGGCTGCCCTTTCCCACAGCCAATTCCGCAGCGGCACCTGTTCCGCCAAAACTTTTCCCAAATTTTGTATCACGATGCTGTCAATCCGCTGCTTCAGGTTAATCACTCCCAGCCCCCCTTCTTTCCTCCCTCTGCACGACAGGTCGTAACTCCAGAGTATGAAGTGTCTATCGAGGAGCGCCTTTCCTCCCGAAATGAAATTGTGGCATAGTCTTTTTACTTTGGTCCAGATGTCGTGCGGCGGGGCGTATATCTGCGCTTGGAACAGCAGGATCGGCATCGCGTAGCTGTTGATGATTGTGACTCTCGCCGATGTCTTGAGATGTTTTGATTCCCAGCAACTCAAAACCGCGCTGACCTTTTCAAATGCTTTATCCCATGCAGGGCCCGGCGACCCCCCTGAAGTTATCCAGATTCCGAGCAACCGCTCCGACTTGCCCTTGTCAGCCCATGTGAAAGGCGACGCTATCGGCTGCAGCCTTCTCTTGTTCTTCCCCAACGGCATCAAAGTCGTTTTGCTGCTGTTCACCCTCAGCCCCGAAATCTCTGCAAATTCGTCGAGCAGTTTTCCCGCCGTAGCCACTTGCTCCTTCCCTCGTAGAACAAGTGTGGTGTCGTCCGCGTAACCGATATATGCGAGCTCCCCCCTTCACCCCACGTTTTCGAACTCCCAGATTTCTCCTTCCTATCTCTTGACAGAGCGGCTCCACCGCGCAGAGGAAGAGGTACGGGGCGAGCGGGCAGCCTTGGCGCACCCCCTTGTCCATCGCCACCCGGTCGCCAACCCACCCGTTCAGCAACATCCTGGTTGCCGCGTTATCATGCAGCCCTTTCACCCAACCCACGTACTTCTCTGGGAAACCCATGTTGTTCAGTGTCATGAACAGGTAATCCCGCGACACGGAATCGTAGGCTTTTTGAAAGTCGACCAGCAGCAGCAACCAATCCTCATCCTCCTCCCCCGCTGCGTCGATTACATCAGCTACCAGCGAGACCGCGTCAGCCAGGCTTCTCCCCGGAAGAAAGCCGAACTGCTTGTCCGAGATCACCCTTGGTAAGACCCGCTTGACTCCGTTCGCCATCACTTTCGCCAGCAGCTTATAGAAGAAACTCAGTAGCGTGATCGGTCTGTAATTGCCCAAATCACATCTGTCCCCCTTCTTGTGTAGCAGGATGGTAACCGCAGTCGTGAAAGCCTCCGAGAGTAACCCCGTCAACTCAAAGTGCTTCACCTCCTGCATCACAGCCGGGCCAAGCAGCTCCCAGTGTTGCTAAAAAAACTCCTTCGGTAGACCATCTTGCCCTGGAGCTTTCCCCGCCGGCAGACCTTTGAGAGCTTCTTTCACCTCCTGCTCAGACCACTCCGCATCAAGCTGAAGTTTGTCCTTCTCCCGCAGCTTCTTGCTCTCATCGATTGGCCACGGCACCAAGGTATTGTTTGATGATGACCCCGCGTACGCTTCTCTGAAGTGTTCTGAAGCTGCCTGTAACACTTCCTTCGCTCCTTTCCTCTGCACCCCCTTGTAAACTAACTCCAGGATCTCCGTCTTTGCCTTTCTCGACTTGACCAGCCCCGACAAAAAGCCCGAGGGCGTCTCGCTCGCCAGCTCCATCAGCATCCCAGTCATGACCTGCAACCGCTCCTTGTTACTGTCTTGATAGAGCTTGAGCGCAGCCTCAGCCTTGACCAGTTCCTCATATAAGTCTTGCGACTTGGCATCTGCCATCACACTCCACCGCAGTTCTTCCACTTTCCGCTCCAAATGTACCAGGGTCGCCCTCACCCGCTTCCTTTCTTCTGTCACGTGAGCCTGCATACACGTTCGCAGGTTCGTCACAAGCCTCTCTAAGCTTTGGTCGGAGCCATCCTTGTGCGCCGCCACCGCCGCTGAGACTATATTCCTGACCCCCTCTCCCCCGGGTCGAGGTGATTGATGTCTCCACAAGCCAGGACCATGATCATCCGTTGCCGCCGCTCTGAGCGCCACCTTCACCGCGAACCAATGGTCGGTCAAGCCGTAAGGGACCATACAGTGCTTTGCCTCCGTTACGGACCCGAGCAGGGAAAGGGAGACTAACACCCTGTCTATCCGTGTACTTGTCCTTGCAGACCTAGAGAAGAAAGTGTACTCCTTGCGCGTCGGGTGAAGACACCGGAACGCATCCTGCAGATCCCATCTCGAGCATATCTGCAGAAGCTTCTGGTTCTCCGCCGGAGTCCCCAGCTTCGAGGATTTATCCAACTCCGGGTCCGCGACAATATTCAAGTCTCCTATGAGGACCGTGTGTGGAGAGGCGGCCAAGCCTTGTACAAAGGGAGACAGCTCGTCGCGGAAAAAGACTCCCCTGGCTGTTGCTTGCGCCGGTAAGTACACTGCCACTATTCTGCACTTCAAATCACGCCAAGACACCATCAGGCTTATTAGCCGACCAGATACGTGCAGACTAACTTCTGTGAAGCGCATCCCTGTCAGGAAACCCAAGACTGCCACCCCTCCAGCTCTCTGCGACGGGCCAACCACGACCTGCGCCTCCGATTTAACTTGCGTCCAGAAATTGTGATCGGCCGGGACGCGTGTATCAGTGAGTACCACGATGCTTGCTGCTTTCCTGATCCATTTTACGCATCGTTCTTGCTTCCTGCTGCTACCGAGCCCGTTGATGTTGAGCTCGAGAATGGTAAGGTTGTTGTGTTTATTCATTGGGCCACTCCTTTGAGCCCCTCAGCATCCACGGGCGATTGATCTTTATTGCGACGATGCATCCAGCTACAGCGAAGGCAAACATGGCTCCTACTACACAACTTGCACCAAAGATCCACTGCGTCGTCTCATCCACTAAGCCGCTGATCACTTTTTTGCCGGCATGGCCATGAACTCCTTTTTGAAAGCTGCCATCTTCTGAGAATGTTTGCTGACCCGTGTTGCAGCACCTTCCTGCTTCAGCCCTCCCTTGTGCCTGGCAGAAGCGACATGAGCCACTGCCTGCTCGAAACTGTTCCCATGGGCCTTCTCGCATATAGTCTGTACGCAGATCCACTCCTCCCGCACACCTCCTGTAGAGGTAAGAATGACTGCGGGGTCCTTCAAGATACGCGTCAAAGACGCTGTGGCTTTCAGGGAAGCCGCTGCGGGAGGAGGTAAGGGGACGGTCGTCAGTACGATTCAGAAGGTATGCTGGCAGCGGAGTGGACAACGAAGGTAAAGCAAACGACAACGGAGAATGAGAGATGCTTCCGCTTATACCGTTCATGTCATGAACCTTCCTAACCGACAGGTTCCAGTTGGTGAAGTTCTCCTGCCTCGTGGTAACATAATGATCATGGTAACGGGACAGGTGCTGGCCGTTGCAAAGCTCGCAGGTAAGCGATGGATAATGCAGCATATAACGCCTGCCAGTCGACGGGTCTTCCACGAAATACCTCCAGCGGTACTCGTCGTCAGCACGAGGGACAAACAGGCCGCGGATACGGTCAGTGTCCAGCCCAGTGACCGGATCAATGGTGCGGTGGAAGCCGAAACCGCTGGCAAAGGCACTCCGACCGCGTTTGACCAGCTTCGACACCACGAGCAGGTGACGAATCAGCTCGACAGTAATGTCCGCAGGAACTCCTTTGACAATGACCTCCTTCGCCGTCGGGTTCAGCAGGCGCTCACGGAGGAAACGTGCATCCTCAGGATGCTGCCAGGTGAAGTCAACAAAGTCGCCGTTCGCGCATTCGTGTCTGATGACTTGGCTCCAGACGAAATTAGCGTCGCGGACATGGTTAAAAGTGACCTGAAGACGACCAAAGCGTGCACCAGAAAAATAGGTCGCTGAAAGTTCCTGGTAAGTTGTTGTTTGCAACGCATCAGGCGTCAACTGCTCTTTCCATTCTTCCAGCAAAGCAGCCACAGTTATAGCAGCACGCTTGACTTCAGGCTTCCTGTTAAACGGCACCAGTAAGGTCAGTGAAAATCGTTTTAAAGCAATAATGCTGCCGAGCGAAGCTGGTTCCAGATGCTCATCGGAGTCGTCACTCAGGCAACCGTCCTCGTCGTCTTCTGGAGCCTGGTCCGACGAGGCATCCTCGTCCTCCTGCGCGGCCGCATCAGCATCAGCCTCTCCATCAGCGGCCTCTTCGCCGCCATCCTTGACGGTAGGATCAGTGACACCATCAGCAGCAACGTCGCCCTGTTCACCGTTGAGGTCGATCTTGGTCTGCAGGTCCAATAAGTCCTCAAAAGGGCCGAGGACCGCTGGCGACGAGGAGGTGGAAGGCGCACGACCCTTGTCAGCAGGATCCTTCTCAGGTACCGTAGGGGTGGGCGACATAGCGGATGTTTTGTCAGTGACTGATGCCTTCTTGCTAACCTTTTTGCTGCGGCCTCTCCCCATGGTGCGATGATGAGAAAAGCTCGTCAGCCCGTTGAAGGCTGAGAAACGAGCCGGACTGAGCACAGTTGACGGTAGAACCATCCATTTATATTTCTTATGCTTGAAACTGAATCGCTGCAGGTCCAGGCCTGGAAAGGGACTCGTGTCCTTTGAGAACGCCAACTGGCCAAGTTGATTAGTGGCCTCAGGAAATGCAGAACCCTTGGAGTTGTTGTCCTTGAAAGCAGCGCGAGAACAAGATAATGTTGACAAAGTTGATAATGCCGAGCAAGATGCCTGATGCTTAGACCAAGATAGCTTGAGACATTGATAGAAACCATGTGCAAAAAGAAGCCTTGATGTTGCAGGAAACACCGAAGACACTGACAGCCTGGAACTCGCATAAGTGGTGTAAATGTTCCCGTAATGAACACGTAAAGGACACCAATGCGTAGAGCTTAAAGCCGCGCGTCGAAAGAGTGTCTCAATGTCTTGATCAGGCCGGAAATTGATGCACATTGACTGTGTCGTAGCTCTCCGCCATGGCCATGGCTGCTTAGTCATTGTCATTGTCATTAATTTGAGGTGACACCTGCCAGAGACAGACCTGTGTTGTGACCGAGGAAATTGTGGCATGGTGTTAGGTGTGCTGCAACGTTCAAATGGAATATCAGGTTCAGGATTCGAGCCTGGAGGTTACCACATCAGCCAGATTGTTAGTTGCGCTATCAAGTATGCAACACATCAGCCTACCAGGAACGACCTGCACGGGATCGCACCTTGCCGTTGAGCCACAGCCGGTCCGCAGTGAACGACGGGCTGACGGCGACGGTGGTTTCGGCGGCTAGCTGGTCCACGTGGAGCGTCACGCTCACGCTGCCGTTAAGCGGCAGCACGCGCGCCTCGTCGCGCTTCCCCCAGTACTTAATCACCGCGATGTTGCTCGGCGCGCGCGCCGTCACTCCCACCACCCACGGCGCCGCCTCGCGCGGCGCATCGGCGGACAACGACATGGCGCTGCTGGCGCTGACGCTCCCGTTTATGTCACGCGGGCTGCAGTCACAGCTGAGGACTCGCTGTAGTCACTCTTTGCAGCTCACACAGTCACGACTATCTAGTAAAAAAAGAAAGAGGGGAAGTCGAAGCCTGCGAATAGACCTAAGCGTCGGAATGAAGTGATAATGCTGTGAGAACCCCTAACGATAATAAGGAGCGGATCTGCAACGAAATGTTGGAGATTAATGGAACCTGGCTCGTAGCGGCGGACGGTCGGCTCAGATTGGACTGGCTTGTCTGGCTAACGATAACAAGCAGTGGTGGTGTCGATAAATAATGCGGCGACACGGCGATCCTTCCTACGCAGCCAAGAGCTTAATCCAGAAACAGCGCGAGACGCGACTGAAGGTAGCTCGATCAGCAAAACGAGATTTTGAAATGAAAAGAGATGGATTTTAGTTCAGTTCTCATGAAAACAAATGCACAAGAACTCGCTCGCTCGCAAGGATCGCGATGCGTGGCACTCGGTGCGACGAGCCTGGCGGATTCTCATCCTCATCCGCGCACTACACACGCGAGAGCTCTCCCGGTCCACATGGTTCAACGAAGATGCGCATGTACATACGCGGTGGGTGGGAACCGGCAAGCTAGGCGACAGAAGCAGCAGAAACTAACACCAGCCACAATACATTCGCTAGCAACGGTCGTCACCGACGGGCGTACCTAGGAAATTCACTGCTCAGACCAGCCGTGGAATGGTGGAGACGAGAAAATGGGAGAAAAATGCTCTGGCTGGATGGGTTGGGGGTGGGAGCATCAAACCAAACATTGCAACGAAGTTAACCGAAAAAGTTTTGCGAGAGTAACTCGATTGCGACGAAGAAGCGCGTGGAGTCCAGTCAAATGTGTAGTGTCGGTTGGCCTGTTTCCTTGCTTGCACCGAAGCCAACCGAATCGCCACAGATGAGCCCAAAGCTACAGTACCAGGAATAACAAGCTAAGGGGTATCCCAGTAATTATCACCAAGAGGTAAAAAATCTGTAGTCCATTCATAAACGGTACTGGTAAGGCAATTGTGAATAATACAAGTACAGCCACGTGACATGTATGTTTGTACGCACATATGCTGTTGATAGAAATTTCTGTTGATAACAGAGTTTCGTGCTTTCAATCTTGGCATCATATAATGGAGTGGAATAAGGGGAAATATATGCGGAAGGATCATATAAATATTCTAGTATTTACACAAATTTAAGCATTACCAAATAGAAAACATGCTTCTGCTAACTTGACTAAAAGAATGGGTCCTCCTGGCTACTCTGTTTTGAGGCTTTTCTTGGACCCCCTCGGCCTTGGTGTTCTGATGAAGTTGCCTGCCAGGATGAGCACCACAGGCACTATTGTGCCGTAGTAATAGAGGCCTCTGTAGGCCTGTACTGTGTGCTGGAATGTCATCACCTGCAGGCAGGAGCATCGATGGGTGACGGGGATTTCGACGAGCACATGAATGTGAGCGACGGAACAGAATATTAGGCAAGGGAGAGGAAAGGGAGCGGAGGGAGGAGGGGGAGTGGGGGTGGTAGGTGTTGTGAGAAGGTAAGGATAGTGGTTCATTCAGGCAAACACACATATGCGGTGCTCCACTGCAGCTGAATATTTCTGCAGACAAATGTGCTTACACTGAAGCCAAAGCCAGCGTAGTTGATGCAGAGCAGCACGTAGAGGAAGTGCAGCAGCGAGGCAACACGGCGGCGCAGCGAGCCCTGCGCCAGAGGGCGGGTCCAGCGGTAGATGACGCGCGAGCCCGCTATCATGAGCGCCCAGTGGGCGAAGCCTATCAAGTCACCTGGGTTCAGTCCCTGAGCAGGGGAGGGAGGGGGTGGGAGGAAAGAGAGAGTTGTTAGAGGATATTCAGGCCAAGGCGCCCTGCATGAGCGGGCACGACCAGCGGTAGATGACGCGCGACCCTGCTATCATGAGCGCCCAGTGCGCGGAGCCTATCAGATCCCCTGCGTTCAGACCCTGAGAGGGAAGAGAGGTTGGGAGAGTTGAGTGCCAGAAGTTTAGACATGAGGAGGGAATGAAATAAGTTGTCAAAAGGTAAAAATCTTGTGGGTTTACAGAGTAAAGGGGAAATGAGGGGAATGGGAATGGCACCAAGATGACAGAGAGTGTTAAGGGAGAGGGCACTCACATGTGAGATGGCGCTGATGAAGAAGGTGAAGAGCAGGTTGAATAGCGCACACTTCCTCTTTCGAGGAGCCCAAGAAATTACCCACATGACATGGAAGTTGAGGGAGAGGGGGCTCATGTGTGAGATGGCATCATGGCACTCACATGTGAGATGGCGCTGATGAAGAAGGTGAAGAGCAGGTTGAATAGCGCACTCTTCCGAGGCATTGCCTCCAGCCTCTCATACACGTCTGTGGAGGGAGCACCGTGGGGAGAGCACAGTGTGGGGAGCACCATGGGGGAAGGAGAGGGGAGGAGAACGGGGGAGGGGGGGGTAAGTGAGTGACAGCAAAGGTGGGTAACGGGACAATGGGGACCATAGCACGGGCAAGCAATATGTTTTTTGGAAAATTCTAAAAAAAAAAAGATTTGAAACGGGTTAACAATGGGCCTCAAATGCAGGTAGCAGTGACAATCCCTATGCTTACAGATGCGCAGCCACGTGCTGAAGGAGATGTTCCAGTTCTTCGCCACGTCAGCACCCGTGCTCGCCAGCTCCATGCCGAGGATATTCACGTTGCGCGCCCTATCCCACGACGCCACCTGTCGCTCGGCACCTGACGCCGCGACCTGCCGCCCGGCACGTGAACACGCAGGGGCGTCATCAGCATCAGTGCGAGTGGCGGCAGCAGTGGCAGCACCAGTAGCAGGAGCAGGAGCAGGAGCAGTAACAGGAGTGGGAGCAGCAGGGGTGGCAGCGATTGCTCTCTTCTTCTCTCCACTTACTGCAGAGCCCTTCAATCCTGCCTTGCTGCCTCTCTGCTTGTTCACAAGCTCTCCCATCATCACTCGCCCACCATTCGCTCCTGCTGCTGCGTCTGCTTGTCCATCGCCAACACTCGTCCCGCCATTCCTCTCTGCGTGGTTCTCCTTCCCATCATGCTCGTCTGCTGCCCCCTCCCCTGCTGCAGCACCATCCGCGTCAGCAGCAGGGGCAGCAGTAGCCACAGTCGTGTCAGCAGCAGGGGCAGCAGCAGCCGCAGTCGTGTCAGCAGCACCAGCAGCAACAGCGGGGACAGCAGGGGCAGCAGCAGCAGCAGCAGCAGGCTTAGTGACCCAGCCAGAAAATCCAAGCCCGCCGGCAACCATAGCAGCCTCGGCGATGGACCAGACAATGTAGCAGCGCCAGCGCGTGACGAGCGTGGCGTGGAACACCAGCAGCAGGCGGCGCAGGAAGGGCAGCGCGAAGAAGCGCGCGGGGTCGGTGGCGAGGGAGAGGTCGAGGTGCGGGAAGATGAGGAGGAAGACGGCTGCTGCTAGCGCGCCTTGCACGAGCACACGGAGGAAGGGCGGGATGGGGGATGGAGAGCGGACCGAGGGGGACCACACCTGGTGGGAGGGAAGGGAAGGGGAAATCGAATGGGTAAAGAGGGAAGAAAGAAGGAAAAGGGTGAAACGTCGGGGTGAGCGGGGAAGATGAGGAGGAAAACGGTTGCTGCTAGTGCGCCTTGGACAAGCACACGGAGGAAGGGCGGGATGGGGGACGGGAAGCGCACTGACCATACCTGGGGGGGGGGAGAGCGGGGGGATGAGTAGAGTGGGGAAACGGGAGTGAGGGAAGGGCGGGATGAGGGATGGGAGCGTACAGCGGGTGAGAAAACCTGGACGAGGGTGAACGGGGAAAGGGATTGGAAGATGGCGGGAGGTGGAAATCAGTTCCACTACAAACCCTAGACCCGAGATCCTCATTGGTAAACCAACGTTTTCATCTAGCCCATCGTCCCGATTATGTAAGTCGTTTATGTAAGTACTCATTTCAGATAAAAGCCGTTCACGGCCATGCCCAACTCATTGGTTGCCACCCAGTGTTGAGCCTCAGAATTAAGGTTCATGCCACTCTTTACCTGTTATGCCACTCAGAATTAGGGTTATGCCAGACCTTATTCATGGTCCTGCAACTCTTTACCTGTTATGCACTCACCCCCGCATTGGTCGGTTCAGTCGACACACAGGACTTTATACCTGTCGATGAGTCCTGGTATACCTAGGACTATAATCCCACTAAGGTTTCGTGGTCCTCGTTGCCTGATTTCTCATTGCGTACTTACCGCCCACTACAAATCACCAAGTCTTCGGTTCCTCACATTTCTAGTACCTCTCCAAAATTCACCTCCCACTTCCACTTGAACGAGGTTTTGAGACGTCTCAAAACACAACTTTCATCACTTGCACTAGGGTTCCACGCCACGCACTCACCCCGCGGCGATGCGTCCAATCGTCGTAGGATTGATAGTCGAACCACGGCCCCAATAGATGCTGCCCGCAGCAGAACAGATACCCAAGAAACTCCACCAGCGACGGCATCTCCCTAATCACTCTCGCACGCTTCTCCGCCTTTTTCCGATCGTCGCCCGTTGGTTGATCGCTCTCGGGCTTCTCGCCGTCTTTCGCGCGCTTCGCGTCGTCCTTTAGGGATTTAAGGCCGTCTTGGTAGTCCATGGCGAGTGACGTCAGCTTAATCGCCACGATCGTTAGAGTCCCCGTGAAATCCACGCGGCCCGTTCGCCGCGCGTCGTCGCTCATGAAGATGACGTGGCTGCTCGGGGTTGGACAGAAGGGGAGGGGACGCAAGTGAGTTGCACGACGCGGGGGAAACGAATTTCGGCGGAAAACGAATTGTGAAGGGAAAAAGCGGCGAAGCACGAAGCAAAAAAAGACGTGCTTTGGTGACGATACAAGAAGCGAGTCGGAACATATCCGCTAGGTGCGCCGTATATTCCGCGCACCACTTCCCTGCTGAATGCGCAGGATTTGATGCCATCGCGATCAAATCCACGTACCATGCGATGAGATGTGCGAAGGTACCAATGAATGTAACCAGCCCGCAGATTCTTCGCTGCGTTCGCATGACGATAAGCGTGAAGGCCGCTGCGAGGATGAAATGCAGCAGCACATCGGGAGTGAAGGAGATTAAAGAAAGAAGTACGCCGGATACTGCGGCGTACACGTGGCGGAGCGCGGGCGGGCCGATAAACCTATGAAGGTAAGCAACGGGGATGGAGGAAAGTGCGCCGACCAGGTACGCTGCTGCGGAATAATCTACACCGAAGGTATCGGAGAATAGTCTCACGGGATCCATGGCTCTTGTGTACGATTCGCGCCGGTTACGATCTAGTAAGCTATGATGGGATTCTCTAAACAATATCTAATGTGCTCATATATAGACAGGTCGTTATCGAGTAAGCTCCGGACGGGTTTTCCTTCCTGACTAAACGATCGAGGTGTGCACGGAAGCACAAGATTTTGAAGATATCCACGGTTCTAGCTCTAAAAATCGCTGAGCTAACGCAATCTGTAAGTTAGACATGTCCGTGGCCCCACTGCTGCTGTGGTTGCCTAGTGGCCAACAACACGCCGCCAATGACTTGGCTAGCTGTCGGTTCCGCTAGGCACGGCGGACGAGGGAAGGAAGCAAGGGAAGAAAGAGCATCGAGGAGAAAGGAAGGGAGCTTGGTCGGTCATGCGAAAAGCGTGTGACGACAAGTACAGTACAGAACGGCTTCTCTGGGCTCGGTCCCAACCAATTCACAACAGAACCGAGGTTGGTTTGGGGGGACCGTGTATAGAACCAACCATAGCTTCGGGAGGGTCTAGAAGCATATGCACTTGGCGAATTCGAACTTATTCCGTCTGGGAATGGTTGCAGCGAAATCGGTGCCTTCGCGAGAATAATAGAACCAGCGAACTTTTGAAAATTTCGTGATTGTTAGAGTTACAGAAAGTTTCTCGCGAAGCCAAGACCTCCCTTCAAACCCGGTCTGGGCAATGGCCGGGTTCCGCTCCGCACGACAATTCCCTCACAGCGGCGCAATGGCTGTGGGCGGGAGAGACCACCACACGACGCGACGCGACCATCACCGCTGCGGCCGTTGCCGAAATCACGCTCGCTGGTTCCGTCCCTCCCCCTCCCACCGATTCGCGCCAACCAATGAGGTGCGTCTCCAAGCACGGCGCGTCAAATTAGACGACATCAAATGCCGCGGTGCGCCCTCCCTACCTTACCCTCGCACCAGGCCTCTCAACTGGCTTGGGCCCAAAGCAAAGCTATTTTGGGGGGGAGAAGCATTCGATTGTGGGCGCGCGAATGAAGCTGTGAACGAGTACATTTCAAGACATGCATCCACAGCTTAGGTATATATCATTCTGTAACCAATTATTACATCAACATACAAAAACGATGACACCTAAATGGCAACAGAAACAGACCTAATACGGTAGCTAAAAGTGGATAGTTACAACAACTTACAACACAAACTGTTTCCGAACACACCACATCATAAAAGTCAAATTTCTCATCCTAATGATCACTTGTCACCTGAGGAATGCTCCCCAACCAGATTTTCCAATAACACACTGCCAATCCATGACATGTGGTAGGAGAGTGAGTTCATGACCTCTGGAAGACCACGGAGAGTGGGAGAACACGGAGAGTGGAGAGATAAGGTAGGGTGGTGGAACAGGAAAGGTGGGAAAGCAAGGAGGGTGGGAGAACAAGCGGGGGGAAGGGAGGGAGGTGGGGGGAACAGGGAGGGTGGGAGAACAAAGAGGGTGGGAGAACAAAGAGGGTGGGAGAAAAGGGGCTGTGGGAGAACAGGGTTGGTGGGAAAACAAGGAGGGTAGGAGACCAAGAAGAGGAGAAAATCGAAGGCGACGGTGAGAAGCAGCGAGGCCAGCGGGCAAGGGAAGTGACGGGGCAGGCGATGGGAGGAAACTCGAGGTCGACAGCAGGGAAAAGAGAGGGCGACGGGGAGGGCGATTGGAGGAGAAGCGCGGAGTGACGGCAGCGGAAAGCAGGGCGACGGGCAGGAGAATGTCTGCTGCGACGCGCTTACACTGCACTGCATGCACGTGTCCAGCAGGGAAGCCAGCGTGGTCAAGACTCAACGGGGAAGCCAGCGTGGTCAAGGGCAGCATGGTTAATGGCAGGGGGAGGAAATTGAGCGGGTGGGAAAGACTTTTGAGGCGCCTCAGAATTGAACATGGTTGAGGGCGGGCTGAGGAGATTGGGAGGGTGGGGAAACAGGAAGAGAGTGAGGCAAGCACGGGTGAGGGCAGGGGGAGGAAAGCTGGAGGGTGGAGAAGTAGTAGGGTCCAGCAGGGAGGTCAGCAAGGCGAGGGTGAGGGAAGGGGGGATGGGGAGGGAACTGGAAGGGTGATTGTGATTGATAAGGACAACGCCCGCCCCACCCTAAAATGTTTGCCCAAACCCCCCTGTGGCTGATGCACCTCCCCTTCCAGCTGATTCTCCCCCTTCTTCAGGTGATGCACCTCCCCCTCCTTCTGATTCCCCCCACTCTTCAGGTGATGCACCTCCCCCTCCTTCTGATTCCCCCCACTCTTCAGGTGATGCACCTCCCCCTCCAGCTGATTCCCCCCTCTCTTCAGGTGATGCACCTCCCCCTCCGGCTGATTCCCCCCACTCTTCAGGAGATGCACCTCCCCCTCCAGCTGATTCCCCCCACTCTTCAGGAGATGCACCTCCCCCTCCGGCTGATTCCCCCCACTCTTCAGGAGATGCACCTCCCCCTCCAGCTGATTCCCCCCACTCTTCAGGTGATGCACCTCCCCCTCCAGCTGATTCCCCCCACTCTTCAGGAGATGCACCTCCCCCTCCGGTTGATGCATCCACCTTTGTGGCTGAACAAACCTCCTCGGCGGCAGATGCACCACCCTCTATCGCTGTCCCACCCTGCCCTGCAGCTGATGCACCTCCCCCCGTCAATAATGCACCGCCTCCTGCAGCTGTTCCACCTTCCAAAGCAAGTAATGCTCCTCCTTCCGCAAGTGACGCAAATCCCCGTGCGGGAAACGCACGGCGACGGCCGTTATCACGCACGTAAGCGGTGCGGGTGGAGGGACCCATGGTGAGGAACAGCGTCGCCATGTTGGGGATGTGCCCGAACTCCATGTAGGTCGCGAGTTTCTCCCTTACGGTAACATTTGGCATTGCCTCGAGCGCGCGCCCAGCTTCCTTGAGATCATCAATCTGGTAATCTGCAGGAAAGCAATTAACGTTGTGAGGAAAAAGACCAGTTTCGAGGCGCCTTGGTACTACATTCCGTGAGCATATTGAATTGGTTATCTGCAAAAAACGTTGTGTGGATAACGGTACAGTACGATGCAATGCGTCAGACGGGGGAAAAGCGAGGCGGACGTTTGAAATGGCGGAGAGCACAAACCGTCGCGGCAATACAGTCGATGTAATGCATACCTTTGTGGATTATGGTTATAGGCTTGCGCATGTTTGCGGCTATAGTCTCAAGGGCGCGAGCAATGCGGTCGTTAACGTCATGGCGTCTGCGCTTCCTAGCAGTACCACTAAACGCAGAGTCAGAGCTACTACTAATCTCATTCTCAGAGCTACTACTAATCTCATTCTCAGAGCTACTACTAATCTCATTCTCAGAGTTACTACTAAACGCAGACTCAGAGCTTGCCATGGAGCGGCGCGCAGGCTAGTAGCGGGTACGCGATAGCAGGTCGTATTACGTCCTGAGCAGCATGTAAGCGATTCCCCCTCTTGCGAAGCGTGCATAAAGTGATGTCGACGTGACACCGGATGGTTAGTGTCAAAATTAAGGGCGCGGCGTGAATCACGAGCACCGCAACCAGCCAGAGATTAGCGGAGCGGTTGACGACGCACTTTTAGATTGAAGCAAAAAAAAGGAAGAGATTTGGACAACAGCAGCCACCATACTCTACCAAGATCACATTTACTTGAAGGGATGTCCTAGCGTTCCGCAGAGGTGCTTCCTACGCTTTGTGCAAGACTGTTCGGTGGCTTTCTTGCTTGAGCAGCACGGAGGCTTCTCTTTTCTTGAGAGAATGTGCAGAAACCGCAGAAGAAACGAATTCCTGCACGCATTCGTTTAAAGCCCCTGTCAACATCTTCCGAACATATGTTTTTCATTTGGCGCATGTGATTGGTTCACGATTGGCGAGTTGTCCTGGAGAGAAGAAATGTCTTGGCGAAACGAGACAATCCCCACACATGAACAGCAACCGCGGGGATTGGCTGAGTCGCAAGAGATGTGACGAACACCCGAATGTTTGCGAAACATTTGTTACTGGGTTGGCATCCTGGGTGGGCCCTTCTTGATCTTACAAGCGCCACCAGCAGAAGGGAACTGAACCCAGAAGCTAGATCCACGACCACGAGTATCCGTCAACAGCATCTACCCAGGTAGCCGAAAGCAGTTGAAGATGGGAGCTTTCTGTATAGCTAGCCCCGACCCGCTACAGATGATGCTCGTTTGACTAACCCAAGGTTGCCTTGTGAAGGGGGCTCTTAAGTGATTCTTGCATTTCGCTAAGTTTTCGTCAATTCGCACTAAGCAAAAAGGGCTTATAAAAAACTTTGTAACTCGCCGTTGACCGTTTGACTTCAGTCTCTTCGGTCAAGCTTCGTTTTCTGTGGTTCGAATTGGTTCAAATCGCTGCAACTTGCTCGAGGCGCTTGTAAGTGGGGTGCAATAAATACACGCGTGCAGAGTATCTGGCGCGTGCAGGGCAAATTCGAGCGCAGCGGTTGAGCAACATGTGTACATATTTGTTAGATTTACCCTCGAGATCAAGAACAAGCTCTGACTTCCTGGTGGAGGGAGGAATTTTTGCTAAAACGTTGTGTTGTTGGTCTGGTATTCTGGTAGGTTAAAGGTTAAAGCCAGGGTCTCACGTACTACGAGTGCTTTGCAGTTGACAGTGCAAGTTTGTTTGTGATTGGCTAACGAGTTGTGAAGTTTGAAGAGGGGTGAAGCGAGGGGTACGAAACGAATCCAAATCGCTAGGTGTAGCCGAACCTCCTAGGTTTGGAGAATCGGTTCGGATCCAAACCTAAAATGCCCCAAACTCGTCGAAAGTCTCACGTACTCAAAACTTGTTGTGCAATTGCTTTTGAGACACTGACGGGAATAGGTTTCCAACCCAACCAAAGAGAAATTCGCCTGCACTAACGAGGTAACCTACCTTCGCCTGCCTACGAGTGCTTTGCAGTTGATGGCTGCTTTGCTTACTTGAGACCCTGGCTTTAAAGTTATTTTTTCTGGTCGTAACCAGTTTTAAGGGGTATCCACTCCTAGATGAGCACGTGCTAACCCCTACTTGGGGCTGGCAGAACACGCCTGCACGGGGGTGGGTTCGATCCCAGTGTCAAATGTTGTAGCCTATAGTGAGGTTTGTCTTAGGGGGTACAAAACTTAGGGTTAGCTATATGTACCCCAACCAACATCAATGCACCATCCATTCTTCATTTTGACATGGTATCAGTTAGGTTAGGATCCTGTGGGATCCCGTTCCTCCGTTCTCCGTTCGAGCCTCCCGAGCCTGATCCTAGCTCTCATTCGTCCCGGTTCCGTTGTTACCGCGCGTAGTGCCGCGCCTAGCGCCACTCCTAGCGTCGCGTCGCGCCCTTTCCCCCCAGTCGAGTCGCGCCCTTTTCCCCCCGTCGCGTCGCGCTCTTTCCCCCCGTCGCGTCGCGCCCTTTCCCCCCAGTCGAGTCGCGCCCTTTTCCCCCGTCCCGTCGCCCTGCCCCGTCCCGTCGCCCTGCCCCGTCCCGTCGCCCTTCCCCGTCCCGTCGCCCTGCCCCGTCGCGTCGCCCTGCCCCGTCCCGTCGCCCTGCCCCGTCCCGTCGCCCTTCCCCGTCCCGTCGCCCTGCCCCGTCGCGTCGCCCTGCCCCGTCGCGTCGCCCTTCCCCGTCCCGTCGCCTCTGCTCCGTCGCGTCGCCCTGCCCCGTCGCGTCGCCCTGCCCCGTCGCATCGCGCCCGCCCTTTCCCCCGTCCCGTCGACCCTACGCCCTGGCCCGTCGCCCTAGCCCGTTCTTCCGCTGCGACTAAGTCCCCCCACCTGAACCCTAATTTGCCTCTTACCTCCTGCTGTTACTCGCCTGCTCGTTCGCGTTAGTTCTCGCTATGGCGACTCCGCGAGTTCTTCGTTTCGACGCTGACGGTAGACCTCTTGACTTTTCCGTCTGGCTTCTTCGCGCTCGCCGTCTGTTAGAGAGTCAAGTCCAGGGGGGCGAGACCCTCTGGTCGCACGCTACTGGTGACCTCCCCGAGCCCCCCGAGCCTGCCGCTTTAGGTCCTGCCCCTGACGATGCTGCTACGGCTCGCTTAGGTCCACTTCACTCAGGTTCGCACCGCTGCTGCGTACCTCACTGCGATTAAGGCCCGCTACTCTACTCCCGCTACTGTCTCTCTTGGCCGTCTTTTCCTCCCGTTCCTGTTTCCTGATCTCGCCTCGTTTGAGCGCTCTGCTGACTTGATCGCTCACCTCCGCTCGCTCGACGCTAGTTACCGCGCTGCTTGCACTGAGGCACAGCTTGCACTGCTTCCTCCCCCTATGGCGATTACTATCTATTTCATCGCCACTAGCCTCCCTGACCGCCTTGCCTCCGTTCGCGACGCGCTTCTGCTGAAGCACCCTAGTGAGCTCACCGTCGATGTCCTTGAGTCTGCACTCAAGGACGTCGAGAGCAACCTTCGCTCGGTAGCCGCTGCCTCTGGTGCTGTGCCCCCCCCACTCTTCCACGGGTGCACAGTCCCGCAGTTACCCACCTTTACTGCCTCACTTGCCACTGCCGCTACTGACGCGACTGCAGCTGCTGTTACGACTGCGTCGCGGTCCCGCGGTAGGAGTGGCAAGAAAGGCGGTTCTGGTGGTGGTAGTGGAGGTGGAGGCGGAGGTAGTGGAGGTGGCGTTGCGCCTGGCGGCGGTGGAGGTTCAGGGCCTGGAGAGGCGCCTCGTGCAGTGACTGGTGACTCCACTGCGCCTGCTAGTGGTGGCGACGCCCGAGTTCGTCAGTCGCCTCCTGTACTTCCTGCCCCGGTTGGTGGAGCAGCGGCGTGGTACCAGGCTCAGCGTCAGCAGCAGCTTCTGCAGCACCAGCAGCCCCTCTCCTCCCAGCAGCCTCAGCAGCAGCAGCGGCAGCAGCTGGCTCCAGGGTCGGGGCTGCGTCAGACCCAGCGCGGTGCTGCTTACACTCCCTGCACCTACCAGGTTCTGACAGGCACTCGTCGTGGCCACCCTTGTGGCCGGTTTCACCCCCCTGGTCAGTGCTTTGCTCAGCTCACTGACACGGTTCGTTTGGTCTACGGGGTTGGTGCTCCTGCCCCTGACTGGCTGCCTCTTGTTCAGCGCTACGGCTCCGCTCTGTGGGGCATGTCTGCTGAGCAGTTAGTTGATCTGATTGGTACTCCCCATGCTATGTATGCTGTTGTTGACTCTAGTGTTTCTGACTCTGCTTACTCTGGTGTTGTTAGCTTAGGTGCTAGCCTTGCTCAGTTGCCTGTTGCTAGTGTAGGTTCTTGTGTAGACTCTAGTCCAGCGGCTACCTCAGAGGACGGTTCGCTGTCGTTCACGCTGGACTCTGGAGCCTCGCACTGCTTCTTTCGTGACAGCACGACACTTACGCCTCTTCCTGCGCCTGTTTCTGTGGCGCTGGCTGATCCCACTTCGGGACCAGTCACCGCGCGTCACACTACCACCTTGCCGTGTCCGGCTGCTCCTTCTGGGTCTCTCACTGGGTTTCACGTCCCCTCGTTCTCCCGGAACTTGGTGGGCGTGCGACCCCTCGTGAGTCAGCACGTGGGTGTGTGGTTTGAGCCTTCTGGAGAGACTGCGGTGTGTGTTGACGGGGACTCTTACCAGCCCCTCGCCACTTTTGCTGCTGAGCCGGGCTCCGGTCTCTACACTCTTCACACTCGCCCGCGCGCTCAGCAGCGACTGCAGCAGCAGCAGCAGCCGCAGCAGCAGCCGCAGCCGCAGCCACAGCGGCCGCCGTCGCAGCAGCCACTCCTCCCAGTTCCTGTCCCTCCCCCTAGTCTCCTCCCTGCGTCTCACCAGGTGGTTCCGTCCCCTCAGGTTGTCGCGTCCAGTCCAGTCGCTGCGTCTTGCTCCTGTCGGTCGCTTGCCCACCCCACCGTTCTGTGGCACCACCGGATGGGACACCCTTCTCTTCCACGTCTGCGTGCTATGTCTAGTCAGCGTCTGGTCTTAGGTCTCCCGCGTGTCTTGCCGTCGCTGCCGCCGTCTCTTGCACCACCGTGCGGTCCTTGCGTCGAGGGTAGGCTGCGTGCCACCCCTCACTCCTCCTCCCTTCGTCCGGCCACCGAGCCTTTTGAGACGCTGCACTTGGACGTCTGGGGCCCCTCTCCTCGCCCTGGCCCTGAGCGTGAGCGTTTCTTTTTGGTGGTCGTTGACGACTACTCCCGCTACACCACAGTGTTCCCCCTGGCGAGGAAGTCTGAGGTGACTTCTACGCTGATCAGGTGGTTGCTTACCACCCAGGACACTCGTGGTCGTCGTGTCAGCTGTCTCCACTCCGACCGCGGGGGCGAGTTTCGCTCCGGCATTCTCGCTGGATTCTGTCGCGAACAGGGCATTCGTCAGTCCTGGACGCTTCCGGAGTCCCCACAGCAGAATGGGGTTGCTGAGCGTCGCATAGGCCTGGTCATGGAGATTGCCCGCACCTCCTTGACTCACGCCCGTGCCCCCCATTTCCTGTGGCCATACGCAGTCAGGTACGCCGCGCACCAGCTGAACCTCTGGCCACGCGTCTCTCGGCCGGAGGCTTCACCGACCAGTCTTTGGACAGGGTCCCCTGGTGTCGCGTCGAGGTTTCGTGTCTGGGGGTGCTTGGCTCTTGTCCGCGACACCTCCGCGGACAAGCTCTCGCCTCGCGCCGTTCCTTGTGTCTTCCTTGGTTTCCCTGAGGACTCCTCTGACTTCACCTTTTACCACCCTCCCTCTCACCGGTTCTTTGACTCCCGTGACGTCCGTTTCGAGGAGTCCACCCCCTACTACGTCAGGTACCCCAGTCGAGGTCTCCCGGTTCCTCCTCCCCCCCTCTTCCTGACAGCCGCTCCCCCGCCTGCTCCCCCGGTACAGCCTCCCCCCCCTGGTCCAGCCCCGTCTGGTGTGTCTCAGGCTAGCCCTCCCCCTTCGGTAGCCCCCCCTGTACAGCCTCCCTCCCCACAGTCTTCCTCACCGCCTCCTGTAGGTGCTCCCTCTCGGGAGGTTGGTCCTGCGACTGTCCCTGTACAGGTCTCTGGTTCTGGGGGTGCTGGAGTTGGAGCTGAGCCGCGGGTTGCAGAGGACTCTTCTCCTCCGGGGGCTGGTACTGGTCGTGCGGAGTCTGGGGGTGCTGGTGCTGCGTCTGGGGGTGAGGGTGTTCCTTCGGTTTCTGGAGAGCCTGGGTCTGGAGCTGGTGTTGGTGCTGCCTCTGGGGGTGGTGTGCTTGGTGCTTCGGAGGTCGACTCTGGGGCTGCCGCTGCCCCGGACACTACTCCTTCCCCCCACCCCTACCCGACCAGGTTCCAGGCTCGTGTTCGTCGTGCTCGTGAGGAGCAGCTGGAGTTGGAGAGAGAGGAGAGAGAGTTGCAGCGGCTCGAGGAGCAGGAGCGACAGCAGCAGGGGCAGCAGCCGCTGGAGCAGCAGCAGCCGCAGCAGCCGCAGCAGCCGTCTCCTCCTCCTGTCTCGGGTCTTCGGACCCTTGGTCTCCCGTCTCCCTCTCCTTCCTCCTCCCCCTCTCCTCCCGTCTCTGGTCCTCCGCTTCCTCCTCCTGACCCCTCTCCCGCTGTTTTCCCTCGTTCTCAGTCTTCGTTGTCCCCTCCTCCTTCTCAGACTTGGGCCTCTCGTCGCTCCCCTCGTGCTCGTCCCTCGTCTCCTGTTCCCTTCACTGACCTTCGTACTGCCTTACTTCGTTCTAGTCCACCTCGTCCGTCTCCGTCTGTGCTTCCGTCTCCTCCTGAGTCGGCTCTCACTGCGTCGCTCCCTACTCCTGTCACAGACTACTACCGCACGTACCGTCCTCTTCTCTCTCGTGTTCTCGCCTCACTTGTTACTCACCCTCGTGCCTCTGTGTCCTCTGTGTCCGCTCTTACTGCCGCAGTCACTGAGTTTGCCTCTACCCGCCGCCTTGACTTCGCCACCGCTCTTGTGGCTGCTCCTCCTTCCAGTCCTCTGGCCGTCGGGGGTGTGTCTGCCCTTGGCTGTGACGCCCTAGAGGACAGGCAGTTTGAGCTAGAGTTCCTGGCGGCCGCTTCCCCTCATCTCTGTGCCATGCTCCTCGCCCCTGAGGGTGACCCCGACGCCCTTGACATTCCGACTCCTCGCACTTACGCTGAGGCAGTGTCAGGGCCTTGGGCCTCTCAGTGGAGAGCTGCCATGGACGCAGAGATGGCCTCCTACAGATCCACAGGCACCTACGTCGATGAGGTTCCCCCTCCGGGGGCGAACGTAGTCGACGGCATGTGGATCTACAGGGTGAAGCGGCCACCGGGATCTCCTCCGGTCTTCAAGGCGCGCTACGTGGCTAGAGGTTTCAGTCAGCGCGAGGGAGTTGACTTCTTTCAGACCTTCGCGCCCACCCCGAAGATGACCACTCTTCGGGTGTTACTGCACGTAGCAGCACAGAGAGACTACGAGTTACACTCTCTCGACTTCTCTACTGCTTTCCTTCAGGGCAGTCTTCACGAGGAGGTCTGGTTGCGTCGTCCCTCTGCCTTCACTGGCTCTTTCCCTCCTGGGACCCAGTGGAGGCTGAGGCGACCGGTTTACGGTCTTCGTCAGGCTCCTCGTGAGTGGCACGACACCCTGCGTTCTACCCTGTCTGACCTTGGGTTCCAGCCGTCTTCTGCTGACCCGTCGCTGTTCGTTCGTCGTGGCCCCACACCTTTCTTTGTTCTGGTCTACGTTGACGACCTTGTTTTCGCCACCCCTGACAGGGTTGCTTTGGCACACGTGAAGTCCGAACTGCAGAAGAGACACACCTGCACTGATCTTGGTGAGCTGCGCCACTACCTTGGCCTGCAGATCACCAGGGACAGAGCTGCTCGCACCATTACACTTTCACAGTCGCACATGGTGCAGCAGGTCCTTCAGCGGTTCGGGCTTCAGCACTCCACAGTACAGCGCACACCTCTTGCTGTTGACCACAGACTCACTGGACCCTTTCCTGACGAGCCGTTCGAGCCTAGTGGTCCCTACGCAGAGCTTGTGGGTTGCCTCATGTACCTGATGACTTGTACTCGCCCGGACCTCGCCTTCCCTCTCAGCGTTCTTGCGCGCTTTGTTGCGCCAGGGAGACACCGTCCTGTTCACTGGACAGCAGCTGTGAGGGTGGCGAAGTACCTAGCGACGACGTCAGGCGTGGGGCTAGTTCTTGGAGGGCAGCAGTCTGTCGTACTTACTGGTCACTGTGACTCCTCTTACGCTGACGACGCTGAGACTCACAGGTCTACTCAGGGGTACTGTTTCAGCCTGGGTTCTGGAGCTGTTTCCTGGCGGTCCACGCGCTCCTCTTCGGTCTCGACCTCTACAGCTGAGGCTGAGATCTACGCTGGTGCCATGGCGGCACAGGAGCTGCGTTGGTTGACCTTCTTGCTCACCGACCTTGGTGAGCGGCCGAGCTCTGCACCGACCTTGTTCACTGACAACAAGGCGTCTATTCTCCTTTGTCGAGAGCCACGACTGGAGAGCAGAGTGAAGCACATTCACGTCAGGTACTTTCTTCTGCGAGAGTTGCAGAGGCGTGGACAGGCTCGCTTTGAGTTTGTGGAGTCCGAGGCCAACACTGCAGACATCTTCACCAAGGCGCTTCCGCCTTGTGACCACCAGAGGTGCTGTGTGCAGTTAGGCCTTGTTGACACTGGTTCTCGTGTTGCTTAGACTTGAGTGTACTGTTTACTTTGCTTTCTATATATCTCTGTTACTTCTTGGACTGGCCTTGTGGCCACTGTTGTTTGTGCTCAGACTGTGTGGTGACGTTGTGATCCACCCTGAGCTTTGTTTCTTGGACTGGTCTTGTGACCGTACTCGTTTGGTTCTGCTAGACACCCCTCACTTAGGCTATGGGGGTGTGTCAAATGTTGTAGCCTATAGTGAGGTTTGTCTTAGGGGGTACAAAACTTAGGGTTAGCTATATGTACCCCAACCAACATCAATGCACCATCCATTCTTCATTCTGACACCCAGGACCCCATCTATCGGAAGCTTGGAGAATCGTCTGGTATTCTGGTAGGAGAATCCAAAGCTTGGATCCACGACCCTTTGGCGAGCATTGAGCCACAACAAGAGAACCGCAGTATAACGCTGTGTACAGCGTTCAGGTTTTGTGGGGCTACCGCAGGTACTGTCCTTCGCGATCTCTAGCGCCACCTACACAAATATCGAATTACGTTACTCTTGAAAAGGCTTTGACAAAAAAAAAAAACACAACGTAAAACGAAAGTCACGAGAACCTCTCTAACAAGTACAGATTCAAAACCACCTCCGATTTCATTCGCATACGAGTACCTCGGTGTGTGTCTTCTCGATAATCTCCGATCAGGCACCACCGCTGAATTCACGGAGTATATGGCTGCCGCCGTTCCACGAAGATGTCGGACCATAGAGAATTCCTATTGTATCGTTCTCAAGCGGGCAGCTGAAAGAGATCGATTCTCGTGTTTCTGTTGAATCCGTGGTTCCACATGCTGCCCACTGGTAAAAGATGCAGCTTTGGGAGCGCGCAGTGCGTTCCCCTGGCCCGAGCCGCCTCTCTCTCGCGAGGAGGTTCGGAATGCACACCGAGGCAAAAACCCCGACCTTACAGAGGGCAGCGGAACTCCAGATTTACCCACTGCAGCCTTGTTCGAATTTCACGTGAGAGTCGGCCAGCCAACCCATTCATTTCGTTTGCTGCCCGTTTTTTTTACTCCGATCCGGGCCAACATGCCAAGCAACACTCAGAAAGTCCCGGAGCATGGCAGACCTACAGCGGTTCCACGGGTCTAGCAGTTCCGAACCTGTCCCCTCTGTTCCTCTTCCCCACAGCCCTCCTCCCTCTCCGTTGTGCTCATCGCTTTTGCTCGCCTAGAAAGTGTCAACACCAGCCTGGTGTGACCAGTCTGAGACCCAGTCATTTTCAAAGTTCCTCTCCAAAAATCTCAGGGTGTCCTCTTAGCTATCTTGAGCTATTCAAAGTTTTGTACCTCAGCTCCTATCTTGAGACCTTAGCTAGCTTTTCATGGCTTATGCTAACGACTACCCAACTTTCGCTGAGGCCCTCGCATTCTTTAGAAACCGTGAAGCACTTTTACAGATGCCGATTCAACCTGTTAACGTTTTCATCTTCCTATTCGGCTGCAGAGGAGGAGGGGGTGTGGAATGAGGCCGAATGGTATGCCTACTATGCTGCAGAGTCATCCGAGGCTGCAGAGGGCTGTTTCGTGGCAGCAGAAACGACTGACGATGCTGCAGAGTTCTCCTCTGAGGCCTCAGTGGATAATTCCGGCCCTACTGAGGGCCTCGCTGATGCTGAAGGGGATTCTATTGACGCTGCAAGTGACTCTTCTGATAAGTCTTCACAGTCTGAGAGCAGCCTTAGCAGCAGCTTCAGGACCAGTGCTGTTGAGGGGAGTGTTGTGTACCACAGGCTCTACACTACTGGAGAATACATCGAGTACAACAGCCAGTTCAGTTTTGGCTCGACTTGGGCAAACGTTACAAGAGACGTGCTCAGTGGCGTTTACAGCTTGAAGAAGGGCGGAAATGGTTGCTCAGGAACGGCAGCAACGGTGTCTACAGGAGTGGTTGTTGACGTGGGTGTTCCGGTGCATGTTGGCATGGGTGCTGCAGAGGATGCTGACGTGGCTGTTGCGGTTGATGCTGACGTGGGTGTTGCTGTGGATGCTGATGAGGGTGCTGCGCTGGATGCTGACGTGGGTGTTGCTGTTGATGCTGACGTGGGTGCTGCAATGAATGCTGATGTGGGTGGTGCGGTTGATGCTGGCATGGATGTTGCGGTTGATGCTGACGTGTGTGATGTGATGAATGCTGATATGGGTGGTGCGGTTGAAGCTGACGTGGGTGTGGCGGTTGGTGCTGATGTGGGTGCTGCAGTGGACCCTGGCATGGGTGCGGCAATGGGTCCTACTGCAGGCACGGCTCTGTCACTTGCCGCTGCAGTGCTGTTGTTTGCAGGCTCAGCAATGTTGCTTGCAGGCCCAGCTCTGTTGCTTGCTGGCACAGCTCTTTTGCTTGCTGGCGCAGCAATGTTGCTAGAAGAGGGGAATTCAGCCTATAGTGCAGTCGGTTCCAAGTCCTATAGTGCAGGAGCTCTTGCAGTGACGACCATTGCTGCGGAGGGGAGAAACGTTCTGGTTGTGCCTGTGTGTTCTGAAAAGGATATGAGGCGCAGTGTACAATCTGAGGGGAAGAACGGCAATGTGAAGGCAAGGGTGGGTGCAATGAGGCCTCCCTGGCGGCTGTGAATACCCAGATGTGGCTAATGGAGTGGTCGAAGAGCAGTGGGTGCGAGTGAGTGCTACTGGTGTGACTGGCAGCAATCAATTTAGAGTAATCTTGTATTATATACTTCAGTTGTTTAGGTCTTTATCATCCCTAAGATGCTAAGCATGCTTAGGAAAATGTACATAATCTGGTGCTTAATAGTAGTGTGGCTATCTGCTGGTGGGACAATGAGTCATGACAAGCAGCCTTTTACATTATGGTAGTAGTTAAGCTCCTTCTGTGTAGGTAGATGTCCTTATCTCAGGAGGATGCACTGCAATTGTGATGAATCCAAGTGGCTGGAAGTTTCTTATTCGTCTTCTGTTGTACAAACTCATTCCTGTACTTGTAGAACTTTCACAACGTTGCAAGAAGCATTCTGCACGTGCCTTGCCAAAGGCGCCTGTGCAACACGGGGTGGACTGTGGAGGCTACTCTGTGCTGACATCCCCATGCGGCATCATTTGTCTCTCACCGCTGATCCAGAACCTGCTCGCAACACAATCCAAAGGCAGAAAAGATGCAGGCAGGCAGGTCAAAGTGGTATGGGACTTGGCAGCCCGGCATGTCATTGGTTTGAGCGAGGCAGGCAGGAAACCAGCCATGAAAACCACGAGAAGGCAGACATAAACAGAAAGGCAGATGAAACTGCAAGAAAGGGACGTCAGCATGTAACAGGGCATTAATGGAAACTGAAGAGTGTGGTGTAATTATGTGAATCAATGCCACGATGTGACAATAGGAGACAATACGAGAAACTTGTGTGCCATTATGTGATGGTATGTGTGACAATGATGACATACATGTGACAATGAGTGGCATATTTGTAACAATGGTGACGTATGTGTGACAACGAGTGGCAAATGTATGTCAGTGACTGAAGCGCAGGTGCGCATGGGGGACATTGTGCGACACAATGTGCGACAATGAGGGATATTATGTGACAATGCATCACCAATTTGTGACATTGTGCGACAACTAGAAACATTTTGTGACAGTGTGAGAAAATGCATGAGCAATTTGTGACAATAAGTAAGAAATGTGCAGCAATGCGTGACAATGTGAAACATTGCCTGACAATGAGCGACAAATGTGTACCATTGTGAGACAATGTATGACCATGAGTGAAAAGTATTTTACAATGTGTGGAATCAGCCACAGATGTGACAATGAGTGGAAAAATGTGTCACAATGCGAGACAAGAATTTGATAATCATAGACAGTGCAATGAGAGTCATTGCGTGACAATGTGTGACAACAAGAAAAGATATGTGACAATGTGCGATACTGTTTGACAGTGTCAATGAATGACAAGGTGTCACAATAAGTGACATTCTGTGACAATGTGAGATTAGGTGAGACATGTAAGTGACATCCCGTGACAATGTGAGATAAGGTGTGACAATGTGTGACCATACGTGCATACATGGCACCCCGTGACAATGTGAGATACTGTGTGACAATGTGTAACAATGACTGATCCGGTGACAATGCGAGACAAGGTGTGACAATGTGTGACAATGACTGATCCTGTGAGAATGCGAGACAAGGTGTGACAATGTGTGACAATGACTGATCCTGTGAGAATGCGAGACAAGGTGTGACAATGTGTAACAATGACTGATCCTGTGAGAATGCGAGACAAGGTATGACAATGTGTAACAATGACTGGTCCTGTGACAATGCAAGACAAGGTGTGACAATGACATTGACTGATCCTGTGAGAATGCGAGACAAGGTGTGACAATGTGTAACAATGACTGATCCTGTGAGAATGCGAGACAAGGTATGACAATGTGTAACAATGACTGATCCTGTGACAATGCAAGACAAGGTGTGACAATGTGTGACATTGACTGATCCTGTGACAATGCGAGACAATGCGAGACAATGCGACAATGAGAGACAAGGTGTGACAAGGTGTGACAAGGTGTGTCAGTGGGTGCATGCAAGCCTGGGAGGACACAGTTGCCTTGCCAGCTACCTGCCGGCCCCGCGCACATGGCTCCGCACCAAAGCATGCGGCATGCCACACATGGCATAACCTACAAGTGTGAGCGGGCGTGATCAGGATTGAACAGGTTCGAATAGGTAAAAGGTGAACCACAAAACATTGCGATTCAAGACTTGACCGGTCATCGAATAAAAGAGGTACAGCACGCCAAGACACGAGACATCCAACGCATGGCATAACCTACTCAGGCACATAGAAACATGCCCAGATGCAACCAAGGTTAAAACACACGGTCGTTTTTTCTTTGGGAAAATTTACTGTAAATCACGGTACCGTATGATGGGCTCTTGTAAGAAATCGTAGAGCAATTAAAAATACGATCGTATTTTTGAACCTTGGATGCAACGGTCAAGTGTGAATCGGCATAATCGGGTGTGAACAGGTTTGAATAGGTGAAAAAAAGAATCACAAAAAGATGAGATTCGAGACTCGACTGTTTATCACAATCAACAGTACAGCAGAGGCATTCAATGATCTAAACACACGTGTATGAGCATGAACAAGCAAACCACAACACGCAGGTGACAGAGTTCCCCAGAAGCACCTTTGGGACAGCTGTCACGAGCTCAATGGCAGCAGGAGCTTTCGCAGCCTTGGCTGCCGCTACAGCCGCCGCTACAGCCGCCGCTACGGCCTGAGGTGGCGCCCCTGCCGCCCTCTGCTGCTCCTCCGCTGCCATCTACTGCTACTGGCTCAAAAGGGATAGACTGGGATGGGAACGGTGGAGAGGGTGGGGGCAAAGCAAAGGGAGAGAAAAATGAGGGGACGTAGTAGGAGGACTTGCTGGCTCAACACGGGCTCATTGGGAATGGTGGGGAATGGTGGTGGAAAGGGAGGCGACGGGTGGGGAAGGGAGGGGGAGGAGGCAGGAAGGGGCGCTGACTCGTTGGCAATCACTAGTCGACCCTCATGCAGATAACGGCTGGCCTTTTGATTCAAGTCAATAGTCACCTCTGCCCTCCTGCGTGCACGAGGGTTGCAGCTGCCTGTATACATGGCTGCTCTAACCAACCTGCACACGTGGCTGCTCTAACCAACCTGCACACGTGGCTGCTCTAACCAACCTGCACACGTGGCTGCTCTAACCAACCTGCACACGTGGCTGCTCTAACCAACCTGCACACGTGGCTGCTCTAACCAACTTGCACACGTGGCTGCTCTAACCAACCTGCACACGTGGCTGCTCTTACCAACCTGCACACGTGGCTGCTCTTACCAACCTGCACACGTGGCTGCACAAAACTGCACACGTGGCTGCACCGACCTGCACACGTGGCTGCACCAACCTGCACACGTGGCTGCACCAAACTGCACACGTGGCTGCACCAACCTGCACACGTGGCTTCACCAACCTGCACACGTGGCTGCACCTACCTGCACACGTGGCTGCACCAACCTGCACACGTGGCTGCACCAACCTGCACACGTGGCTGCACCAACCTGCACACGTGGCTGCACCTACCTGCACGCATAGTTTTGGGCAAATTTCCTCCTCAGGCTCTGCCCCACACAACCCCCACTGTGCCACCCTCTCCCCCTGCTGCTGCTGCTGCTGCTGCTGCTGCTGCTGCTGCTGCTGCTGCTGCTGCTGCTGCTGCTGCTGCTGCTGCTGCTGCTGCTGCTGCTGCTGCTGCTGCTGCCCCTCCCACAGTATCACCCTCCCGAACCTGCTCCTCGTCAAGCCAACTCTGCCCCTTGACCTGCCCCACGCCCTCCCGAACCAGCCTGGGCGCTCCCAAGCCTCTCCCAGGCCCCGCCCTGCCTTCCCCGCCCTACCTCCCCTTCCCCCAACAGCAGCAGTAGCAGCCTTGGCCGCAGCAGCAGCTGCCAATGCCGCCGCCCCATCAGCCATGGAGTTCAGGGAGAGGGCGCGAGAGGCTCCTTGGTTACCAAATGGAAAGACGTATAAAGGGGAGTAGAGGTGGATAGAGGTGGGTAAAGGTGGATAAAAGTGGTTGCGGGTGGGTAGAGTGATAAAGCAAAGCATGGACTTAACGCCAATGGAGTTCAAGGGGGATATGCTTGCTGGCTCCTTGGCCTTTGCCCCATTCGTGCCCACCTCCATGACCAACCCACACATTGTGTGTTTTAACAGGGTGTTTTCGAGAACCTACAAAAACACCCTGCAAAGCTGGGGGATTGACGCAAAGCCGATTGCAATGGCGGCAAAAATCTCAGCTTCTGAAACTGTGGCTCACGAAGGATACTGAATTCAACTTCAATTCAACTTGAATTCAAAGCTACTCTGTCGCATCTCCCAGCACCACGATCGCACATCAACCCTCCTCGCTCTCTGAACCCACCTCGCCCACACCTTGATCGCATTCTCCAGCACCAACGGTTACAAATGAAATCTGCGAAGAAATTGATTTACTACTGGGTGACGTCATCCAGCGCCATGTTGACGAGGAGACACGTAGAAGCCCCTCAGCGTGCCCACCGGCTCCTTATCGCCCTTCATGCTCCTTCCACCCTATGCACCTTCCACCCTATCCACTGCTCCATCAGCTCGGCCGCGTGCGCGCAATACTGGGAGTGACGCAACGCGTATGAATCAGTCTTCGTGAATACAATATCCAAGAGCAGATATGCGTTTCAATCATCTCCGCCACGTGGAACCAACGCATGTGAAAAAGAAATCTCGAATAGATGGACCAGCGGAAGCAAGCGACGAGAAACTGATCACGGGCTCGCATGCCAGGCGGTTTCCGTGGGGAAATGGCTGTTCGGGCAGCGTGGCGCAACTTGCGGAGTCGATTGCGCAAGATTATCTCCCGCACGTGAGTTGCTGAGAGGAGCTACTGAGTGAAGGCCCGCTGGCAATAGAAAACGAATTTCGGTTGTCTCCTCGGCTGCTGGCTGTTGGCTGTTGGCTGGAGGTTGGTTGCGCGCAAATCGAATGCATTATTTAGCTGAGAGTCATCTCTGGCTGTCGATCAAAAACTCTGCCAGGTGTTTTCGTTTACCCTCGAAATTAGAGGCGCTTTTGAAACTTGCAAATTCTAACTCGGTAACATTGAGTGAAGTGATCGTACAGTCGTGTAACAAACTTATAAGAAGTTGGTGGTGTAGTTTGTATGGTGGGTCTGCGACACTTTCCAGAGTCTTCCTTGTTGCGGCTTCGTTAAAGGATCAGCGACGGTCATGAAGTCGCAACAGCACATGCACAATATTTTTGCGAAGAGCATCATGCGCGTGACGAAAAGCAAGCGGCCGCTCACGAATATTTGTAACTAGGGGTGACAGTCCTGTCGGGTTCACCCCCAGCTTCACCTTCAGCCGTGGCGCGTCCCCCCAGTTTAGCCATGGCTCCTCCTCTTGCCCGCTGCTGACCCAACTATTCTCGGCTTGACCCGCCTTTCAAGAGAGGTGCATGTGCTAACGTTACATGTATTTCCTCGAAATCTCCGCCTCCACGCGTCACTTCTCGCAGTTGTCCGCATCGATTCCGGGAGCGTGTTTTCTGGCAGGCAACTTGATTTGCGGACTCTCGTCCGTTCACCAGCCTCGCTAGGTTGTCAATTGCCGCTGCTCTTGTCTCGTTCCACCGTTGGATAGACCTGCGGTAACATGCTTGTTAATCGATAACATGCTAGTCATTGTGTCGTCCGACGTTCCGACCCGACACAGTACACGAAGTGACCCGTCCACTTTGTAGAGAATAGCACAGTGAATGCTAGTCACCAGTCGGCGTTTCTTCCATGGCGCGTCTTGTTATCCTGCGATGATCCTAGCTGATGCGTCTTGTGATAGGTTCAGTTCGGAGTGTATTCACCGCCCTCCGGATGCCATGATATCCTTGGTCTCGCCAGCCGAACCTCTCACTTCGTTGTCGATAGTAGCTCCACCGTTATAGTCACAACGCCCTGTCCGACCTTTCAGCTGAAACAGACACGCTTCAATTCTTCATCATTAAGGCGAGCGATGACGATAAGATCACCCATGGTATACTCGTTATAAGATCATCCACGCTAGCAGTAGCTCGGATCGCCAGTTTCTTTCTCTCATAAGGTATCCGTCACTTTTCGGATCCGCCACCTGGCGTTGCCTGCTCCTGCCACGTGGCACCTTTATCCTCCACGTGGCACAACGTAAGCCATGGCGCAGCTTCCCGTAGCCATCGCCGTGAGCCTCGCGGGAGGCGTGGCGCTCCTCCTTCGCCGCCGCGGCCGGCGGAAGCGGGACGACGCGATCCGCGAATCAGCGGAGGAGGTCGCGGAGGCGGGGGAAGGCGGGGAGGGGGAAGGCGGAGAGGGGGAGTATGGGGATCCGGCGGAAGACGACGAGGGGCTGGCGGAGGGGGAAGCCGGGGACGAGGCGGAGATGGGGGAGGAGGGGGACGCGGGGGAAGCGGCGGAGGCAGCAGCGGGGTTGAAGCTGCTGAGGGAGGAGTTTGAAGCAGCCTTGTTCGATGGCAAGGAATTTGATACTGACTGGGATGAATTCCCCTACCACATCAGGTACGGCCGTGTGCCTGCGGAAGGAGTTCGGTACGTACGGAGTGCCTTCGTTGCCTTGTGGCAGGACTTTGGCATGCCAAACCCCTCCTTCCAGAACCCCAGCAGCAGCAACCACGGGGAGCAGGAGCAGCAGCACGTGCTTGCACTCTAGTGCAGGGTGTTTTGGGGAGCTCTCAAGATTACCCTGTGCACTGGCTCTCAAGATTGCACCTCAAGCAGGCTTCCTTCCAGCCAGTGCAGCGCCTTTGCACCGAGAACGCGAGGGAGGAGAGGAGGTGGAGCCTGGTGGTGCTTGACTTGTGTCAAGCACCTTGATGGAGATGGACTCGTGCTTCACTGCTGCCTTCCAATGTTATTTCATGCTTTGCTTTGCCCTCTCTCCTCTCCCCTCTCCCCCTCTCCCCTCTCCCCCTCTCCCCCATTCCCCTTTCCCCCACGTCCCCCCACTCCCCACCACCCACGTTCTCATCTCATGTACCCGACCTTCTCTAAATCTTCCCCCCCTTCCCCGCACCTACCTCTCCTCCCCCCCTCTCCCCCTCGCAGCAACCATGCCAAGGAGCATCTACTCGCGTCCTTCTTCGTGCATCTACTTAACTCAGTGTGTTCCATGCTCCTTCCCTCCCATCCTGCCGTCCCGCTCCACCCCCCTACCATCCCACCTCTCCCCCTCGCAGCAGCCACGCCAAGGAGCACCTACTCGCGTCCTTCTTTGTTCATCTCATTGAATTAATCCCATGTGCTGCACTTCTCTTCTCTCCCCTCCTCCTCCCGCAACTCCCCCCCAGCAACCACGCCAAGGAGCACCTACTGGCGTCCTTCTTCGTTCATCTAATTCCATGCTCCTTCCCTCCCATCCTGCCCTCCCGCTCCACCCATTTACACCCCATCTCCCCCTCGCGCAGCAACCACGCCAAGGAGCACCTACTGGCGTCCTTCTTCGTTCATCTAATTCCATGCTCCTTCCCTCCCATCCTGCCCTCCCGCTCCACCCATTTACACCCCATCTCCCCCTCGCGCAGCAACCACGCCAAGGAGCACCTACTGGCGTCCTTCTTCGTTCATCTCAAGCGCACGCGCCTTGCCAAGTTCGTCTCCTGCTTCCCCAACCTCAGCAACTGGATCCTCCTCTCCGGACCTCCCGGTGAGCCCAGGCCCGAACCACAGGACTTGGTTCGGGCACGAGTAGGGTCGTGCATCACATCACAGTGCTCGCTTTGGACAAGAATTCTGCCGCCTGTAACCCCAAAGGGCACTTACAAGAGTCAAATACGTCCACTTAAAGCTCATGATTTTAGTGCTGTGCCACTTACACCACAGAAGGGACATATATACGTCGCCGTTTCCTTGTCACACGTGCAGGCAGCGAGAGGTGTATCAGGACTCGTTGGTGGGATGAGGGCCATCGCCATGAAGCTCAACGTTTGCCTCATGTTTCTCTCTGCTCTCCCCTTTACCGCCAAACCCCCCTCCCTTGTGTCCTGTCTGCTGGGTATGCGAGCAGGCAGTGAGGTGTATCAGGACACGCTAGTGAGGGCCATTGCCAGGAAGCTCAACGCACGGCTCATCGCTGTGGATGCTGACAAGTTCCTCACCCCTGTGAGTGCTGCCTGCCCCTGGGAGTGCTGCCTGCCCCTGTGAGTGCTGCCTGCCCTGCTGCGCCTCCTCCATTAGCCCTCGCTGGCACTCGTTGCTGCGTAACGCAAGTAACCAGCAGTGATGGTGTAGTTCTATAAGCAAGTGAAGCTTGCGAGCGAGAAAGCGTGTGTTCTATGAGCGCCACTCCATCTCCCGTTCCCTTTCCCGCCCCACCTTCCGGCCCTCCCCTCCTTCCCTGCCATGCCGTGCGCTCACTTGTTTCTCCACTGGCGGTGTTTGCCATGGCATGGCATGGCGTGGCATCGCATGGCATGGCGTAGCGTGGTATGCTGGCGTGTGTGCGTGATCTGGTGGGCCATGGCATGGCATGGCATGGCATGTGCATGGGGGGGTGCAGGCGGACATGTCATCGGTGCCCAAGAGGAGGCCAGCAGCAGACAAGCCGCGTGATTCACTCGACTCCACAGGCCTCTCCGACTCCCTCGACTCGCCTCTTGTGTGTGCTGCTGCCTCGCTGCTGCCTCGCCGCTGCCTCGCTGCTGCCTCGCTGCTGCCTCGCCTCACCCTCGCTCTTCCCCCTCCCTCCCCCACTTCCTCCTCGCTGCCCCCCTTCTCCATCCCTCCCCTCCCCTCCTTTTCCCCGTGTGCTGCTGTTTCTAACCCTGCTGGCGTATTCTTTGCCTTGCTGCGCCCTTGGCCCGTTCTCGCGTTGCCTGCTAGCTCTGCTCCTCGTTCCTTTTCTCATAGCAACCAACGAGCTCTCTTCTCGCACGCGCTCGCCTCCTGCATGTTCTCCCCGCACACGGCACGGACCATGTTTGCCAGTTGCAGCACCTCAACCTCCGCCTTCCCCCTCCCCCGCTCGCCCCCGCACGCCCATCTTGCAGTACGCGAGTGTGGAAAAGCATCTGGTGGCCGTGGGGCCGAGTTTTGAGTCGACTCAGAACGTGGCCGTGGGGTTGGCTGCGGGGATCACTCTGAACACACTTCCCCTGTCCCACCTCTTGAAATGCCTCGTCTCGTGTGTGATAAGTCGGTTTCTGAGTCGACTCAAAAATCGACTTATCACACACTTCCCCTGTCCCACCTCTTAGATGTCTCGACTCAGAGGCCTTCCGCCTCTTTCCACTATCCCCCCACTTTCAAACCCCCTTCTACCTCCCATAATATGCAAGTTTCGCCAAGCATCTGGTAGCGATGGCAGCTATGATGGCCGTGGGGGTGGCCGTGGAGGTGGCAGTAGGAAACACACTCAGCACACCCTTTTGCTGTCCCACCTCTTCCCTTCCACCATCCTCACCTCCCCCGATCCCCTCACCTCCCCCGATCCCCTCACCTCCCCCGATCCCCTCACCTCCCCCGATCCCCTCACCTCCCCCGATCCCCTCACCTCCCCCGATCCCCTCACCTCCCCCGATCCCCTCACCTCCCCCGATCCCCTCACCTCCCCCGATCCCCTCACCTCCCCCGATCCCCTCACCTCCCCCGATCCCCTCACCTCCCCCGATCCCCTCACCTCCCCCGATCCCCTCACCTCCCCCGATCCCCTCACCTCCCCCGATCCCCTCACCTCCCCCGATCCCCTCACCTCCCCCGATCCCCTCACCTCCCCCGATCCCCTCACCTCCCCCGATCCCCTCACCTCCCCCGATCCCCTCACCTCCCCCGATCCCCTCACCTCCCCCGATCCCCTCACCTCCCCCGATCCCCTCACCTCCCCCGATCCCCTCACCTCCCCCGATCCCCTCACCTCCCCCGATCCCCTCACCTCCCCCGATCCCCTCACCTCCCCCGATCCCCTCACCTCCCCCGATCCCCTCACCTCCCCCGATCCCCTCACCTCCCCCGATCCCCTCACCTCCCCCGATCCCCTCACCTCCCCCGATCCCCTCACCTCCCCCGATCCCCTCACCTCCCCCGATCCCCTCACCTCCCCCGATCCCCTCACCTCCCCCGATCCCCTCACCTCCCCCGATCCCCTCACCTCCCCCGATCCCCTCACCTCCCCCGATCCCCTCACCTCCCCCGATCCCCTCACCTCCCCCGATCCCCTCACCTCCCCCGATCCCCTCACCTCCCCCGATCCCCTCACCTCCCCCGATCCCCTCACCTCCCCCGATCCCCTCGCCTCCCCCGATCCCCTCACCTCCCCCGATCCCCTCACCTCCCCCGATCCCCTCACCTCCCCCGATCCCCTCACCTCCCCCGATCCCCTCACCTCCCCCGATCCCCTCACCTCCCCCGATCCCCTCACCTCCCCCGATCCCCTCACCTCCCCCGATCCCCTCACCTCCCCCGATCCCCTCACCTCCCCCGATCCCCTCACCTCCCCCGATCCCCTCACCTCCCCCGATCCCCTCACCTCCCCCGATCCCCTCACCTCCCCCGATCCCCTCACCTCCCCCGATCCCCTCACCTCCCCCGATCCCCTCACCTCCCCCGATCCCCTCACCTCCCCCGATCCCCTCACCTCCCCCGATCCCCTCACCTCCCCCGATCCCCTCACCTCCCCCGATCCCCTCACCTCCCCCGATCCCCTCACCTCCCCCGATCCCCTCACCTCCCCCGATCCCCTCACCTCCCCCGATCCCCTCACCTCCCCCGATCCCCTCACCTCCCCCGATCCCCTCACCTCCCCCGATCCCCTCACCTCCCCCGATCCCCTCACCTCCCCCGATCCCCTCACCTCCCCCGATCCCCTCACCTCCCCCGATCCCCTCACCTCCCCCGATCCCCTCACCTCCCCCGATCCCCTCACCTCCCCCGATCCCCTCACCTCCCCCGATCCCCTCACCTCCCCCGATCCCCTCACCTCCCCCGATCCCCTCACCTCCCCCGATCCCCTCACCTCCCCCGATCCCCTCACCTCCCCCGATCCCCTCACCTCCCCCGATCCCCTCACCTCCCCCGATCCCCTCACCTCCCCCGATCCCCTCGCCTCCCCCGATCCCCTCGCCTCCCCCGATCCCCTCGCCTCCCCCGATCCCCTCGCCTCCCCCGATCCCCTCACCTCCCCCGATCCCCTCACCTCCCCCGATCCCCTCACCTCCCCCGATCCCCTCACCTCCCCCGATCCCCTCACCTCCCCCGATCCCCTCACCTCCCCCGATCCCCTCACCTCCCCCGATCCCCTCACCTCCCCCGATCCCCTCACCTCCCCCGATCCCCTCACCTCCCCCGATCCCCTCACCTCCCCCGATCCCCTCACCTCCCCCGATCCCCTCACCTCCCCCGATCCCCTCACCTCCCCCGATCCCCTCACCTCCCCCGATCCCCTCACCTCCCCCGATCCCCTCACCTCCCCCGATCCCCTCACCTCCCCCGATCCCCTCACCTCCCCCGATCCCCTCACCTCCCCCGATCCCCTCACCTCCCCCGATCCCCTCACCTCCCCCGATCCCCTCACCTCCCCCGATCCCCTCACCTCCCCCGATCCCCTCACCTCCCCCGATCCCCTCACCTCCCCCGATCCCCTCACCTCCCCCGATCCCCTCACCTCCCCCGATCCCCTCCCACCTTTGCAGTACGCGAGTTTGGCGAAGCATCTGGTGGCGATGGCAGCAATGATGGCTGTGGGGGTGGCCGTGGGGAACACACTGGGCACAGGCAGCGGCAGGGGCACCGGGGGCACGGGGGCAGGGTTGGACAGCAACAGTGGCGCCTACTCTCAGAGCGGCGAGGGGGAGGGGCAGGGCGGAGGGGATGAGTATGGGTTTGGGAGTGGCGGAGGGGAGGAGGATGGGGCGACGACCAGGGCGCTGAGAGTGGGTGGGTGGAGAGCGGTGGAAGGGGAGTCAGAGTGGTGTGGGGGTTGCCTGTGAGAGCTAATTGGAAATGGAGAGTGTTTGGAATGGGTGAGAAGAGAGAGTGAGGGAGGGGAGAGGAGAAGAGGAGAGGAGAGGAGAGGAGAGGAGAGGAGAGGAGAGGAAGGGGAGAGGAGAGGAGAGGAGAGGAGAGGAGAGGAGAGGAGAGGAGAGGAGAGGAGAGGAGAGGAGAGGAAAGGAGAGGAGAGTTTTTTTCGGTAATCGGTTGCATTGATGTTTACATATAGTGGTCTTGGCTCCTTGCGTTTCTCATGGATCTCTGACCCTTCCCAACGTGACTATCAGGTGGTTCTTGAGCCTGGTTTCCTTTGATTTGCATGTTGCTCACGTGCCAATGTGCCATGCTGTGTGGTGCTGTGTGCCTTGTCGTCCCAGGGGACCGTGTCACCTATGTGAACGTGGATGGCTACAGCACGGACGTGCCTGTGCCCAGGTGCGTGGTTTGCAGGTGCTGCTTGGAAGCCCAGGTGCTGTGTGTGGTGTCTGTGCCCTGTCTTGCCAATGTGCTTTATCGTCCCAAGGGACCGTGTCACCTATGTGGATGGCTACAGCACGGACGTGCCTGTGCCCAGGTGTGTTGGTGGGAACTCTCACAGGTCCCAGTGAGGTGGCTGTTGGGAGGCCAGGTGCGGTGGGGTGGGGTGGGAGGGAGGCAGCTTAAGAGGTGTGCAGGTTCCATGTCACCTATATCTACGTGGACAGCTAGAGCACGGACGTGTGTGTTCCCATGTGTGGAAAGTCACTTCTGTGAATCCAGTTTAATCTTCTGAGGTAAGCTGACGTTTGCAAGGCAGGTGGTGGCATTGGCAACATATGAGACGGTGGGAGTGTGCTTTGATTCAACTCACTGCTTGTGTTATCGTGCCATGTGTATGTTTTCGTTCCTCCCGTTGTGCCCCCTCTCCCTCCTCGCCCCGCCAGTTGACTTGACCCACAGGGCAGGCGGTGAGGTGCAAGTTGACTCACTCCTTGTGACATTCTCACTCCCTTGTTGCTTGCTTCCCCTCACTCGCCCCTCCAGTCGCCCCCCTAGAGGAGCAACGGGCAGGTGGTGGCAACGTACGAGATGGTGAGAGTAAAGAGTCTGTGAGGCGAGTCAGATCGCACCCTCACTCGCCTCACAGCGTCTTTACTCTCCTGCCTTGCCTGGTCTCCCCACCCCACGGTGGCAACGTATGAAATGGTGGTGCGCTTTGACTGCCGCTTGTATCCCCGCCTCACCTCACTCCCTCCTCTTCCCTCCTCTTCGCCCTTCCAGCCGCCCCCCTAGAGGAGCAACAGGGCAGGTGGTGGCGACATACGAGACGGTGGGGGTGCGCTTTGACTCGCCTGATGTCACGTCATCTCCAGATCCACTCACCTCCTCTTTACTCCCCTGCCTCCCCTTGTTTCCCCGTCCCTCCAGCCGCCCCCCTAGAGGAGCCACAGGGCAGGTGGTGGCGACATACGAGACGGTGGGGGTGCGCTTTGACTCGCCTGTGCCGGGAGGCCACTCCCTCAGTGGCCTCTGTGACGGCGGCCATGGCCACATCTGCTACGGTGCGATGCGGTGCTCTGCGGTGCAGCGGAGAGTCCCTGGATGGATGGGGATGGGGATGAGATGGGTTGGATGAGTTGGGATGGTTGTGTGTGCGTGTTTGGGGGTGCGGGGGTTGTGGCTGATGCCGCACATGTCGGATTTCTGTGTGTTGTGCGCATGGGTGCGCATGGGTACGCATGGGTGGGCATGGGTACGCATGGGTGCGCATGGGTGCGCATGGTTGCACCTTTCTTTGAGTTCGCTTCCTGCCTGAATCACCACATGCATCTCCATGCCCCACCCCTCTCCTGCACTCCCCCTGCCACGTCAGCATCTGAGCTGCTATTGGAGGAATCATCCAGCAGTGTGAAAGAGTGTGCAGCCACCGTGGCTCTCATGCAGGTATGGTACCATGGCGGACAGATAGGTACGGTAACGTGGAAGACAGTTAGGTACGGTACCGTGGCAGACAGATAGGTTCGGTACCGTGGCTGCCGGATGAGTACTGTGTACAGCGCCATGGCAGACGGAGCAGTGCAGTACCATAGCTGAGGTATCGCAGTGTGGAGGCGCGCATATGTTAGGACGACAGGAGAGGAGAGTAGCAAGGGACTCAGACTCAGTCAGTGACGTGGAGTGGTCTTCCTAGCATTCATTGCATTGCGGTGGATGCGACTCTGAATGCAACTCGTTACCAATGCAACGTGGTGCTCCTAGCCTCCATCCATCCCCCATCCCGTGGCAACGCAACCCAACACTCTCACAGGCTCACAACTCAACTCGCGTCGTCTGAATCTGCTTGCCGCCTGCCCGGCCAATCAGGTGCTGGAAAAGGAGCTGCCACGTGGGCCAATCATTGTCTTCATCCGCGACGCGCAGCGATTGGCCGAGGCCTCCTCAAGTGCCGCCCAGTTTGAGGCGCAAATGAGCCGACTGGTGGGGCCCATCGTGTTTGTCGGCTCTGTCGCTCGCTCCGAATCCTCCTCCGCTGTCGCTGCTACAAAAGATGCGGTGAGTAGTCGGAGAGTAGGGGTGAAGGCAGGGTGATGGGGTGATGGTATGTGGAGTGACGGGATGACAGACAGGTCGCTAAGGTGATAGTTTGGATTGTGTCTGCCTCTTTTGTCTCTGCAATTGTGTCTAGTGCCTCTTCCCCTTACAGTCGTTGTGGATTCCCCCTTACTGTTTCCCTGCCTCGCACTTCTCGTCTCTCCTCCCTGCCTCTCCGCCCCCCTTCCCCCAAATCTGTGCCGCGCTGTGACTCCAGGATGCAGCAGAGGGGGGGGCAGGGGGGGCGGCATAAAGCAGTGGTTTGGAAAGTCTCATAACACTTCTTGTCTCCCTGTCTCTCCTCCTTCTCCCCCCATCTGTGCTGTGCCGCGCTGTGACTCCAGGATGCAGCAGAGGGGGCGGCAGGAGGGACGGCAGCAGCAGCCGCCGGGCCTGCCAGCACGGCTTGGGAGCCGCTCAGTGACATGTTTCCGAACCGCTTCGTGGTTCGGCAGCCCAGGGCAGGTCCGGCGGCGGAGGTGTGGGCGAAGCTGATGGAGAGAGACGCACAGCTCATGCAGATGTTGGCCAACCGACGGATGCTGGAGAAGGTGGGATCTGGCCTGGGGGAGGTGGGATGTGGGGGAGGTGGCATCTGGGGAAGGCGGGATCTGGGGAAGGTGGGGTTTGTGAAAGGCGGGTTCTGGGGAAAGTGGGGTCTGCGGAAGGGTTTGATTGAGCACTCTCAAGGAGAGACGCGCAGCTCATGCACATGCTGGCCAACCAGCGGATGCTGGAGAAGGTGGGATCTGGGGGAGGTGGGATGTGGGGAAGGGCTTGAGCATTCTCAAGGAGAGACGTGCAGCTCATGCACATGCTGGCCAACCAGCGGATGCTGGAGAAGGTGGGATCTGGGGGAGGTGGGATGTGGGGAAGGGCTTGAGCATTCTCAAGGAGAGACGCGCAGCTCATGCACATGCTGGCCAACCAGCGGATGCTGGAGAAGGTGGGATCTGGGGGAGGTGGGATGTGGGGAAGGGCTTGAGCATTCTCAAGGAGAGACGCGCAGCTCATGCACATGCTGGCCAACCAGCGGATGCTGGAGAAGGTGGGGTCTGGGGGAGGTGGGATGTGGGGAAGGGCTTGAGCATTCTCAAATGAGACGTGCAGCTCATGCACATGCTTGCCAATTGGCGGTTGCTGGAGAAGGTGGATGGGGCATGGTCCGGGGCGAGGCGTTTACTTAACAGTATTCTGGAAGTGTTTGTCAAACAAGACGACTCGCGCGCGCCGTCCTCTTCTCATACTCTCATCCCTCTCTCCCCTCTCTTTTCTTACTCTCATCCCTCTCTCCCCTCTCTCCCCATCTGCCCATCAGGTCATGGCAACCAACGAGCTCACCTGCAATGACATGGACAAAGTCACTTTCACTGAGCCTCTATCAGAAGAAGGTGAGGAGGGCAGGAGGGTGGGTGGGTGGGTGGGTAGGTGGATGGGTGGGAGCAGTTGGGGGCGTTTCTTTCTTCCTCTCTCCCCTTCCGTCCCGTTCCTCGCCTCTCCCCTTCCTTTCTGCTTGCATCTGCAGAGGTGGTGGGATTGGCAGCAGCGACCATCATGCAAGAGAGCGTGTTCCCCTAGCCTATTCTCTTTCGATTCCTGAGGCGCCTAAAAACTTACCTCAATGCACTCGGATTGGCAGCAGCAACAATCAAGAAAGAGAGCACGTTCCAGGGGTGGTGGGATTGACCTATTCTTTCTCGATTCCTTTCACTCCCGTGCATCATCAGAGGCGGAGCAGGTGGTGGAGCTGGCAGCAGCACACGCCATCATGCAGGAGAGCATTTCCTTCACATCTGTCTTTCCCATCCCCTCCGCCCCTTCTTTTCACTCCCGTGCATGATCAGAGGCGGAACAGGTGGTGGGGCTGGCAGCAGCACACGCCATCATGCAGGGCGCAGCAGAGGGGGCGAAGGGAGGCGCTGAGGAGACGAGCAAGGGAGAGACCGCGATAAAGGCAAAGGCGAAGGAGAAGGAGAAGGAGAAGGAGAAGGAGAAGGAGAAGGAGAAGGAGGGGGACAGCGAGAAGGGGAAGGACGAGGAGAGGAAGGAGGGGGAGGAGGAGAGGGAAGTGGAGGTGGATGAGGGCGAGAGTGACGGAGGCGAGCTTGTCATTTCAGCTGAGAGGTGGGCGTTAGAGCAGCGGTGCAGCATCGTAGAGCCTCATGTGATCTTTAATTTCTGTCGTAGGTAAGTAGGTATGTAGGTTAAAAAGGGGGTCTTGCAGACGAGGGGGAGGGGGGTGAGTTGAATGCGTGGACCCATACCATTCCTCCTCAATGGGTGAAAAAGGGTTTCCCCATCCCTTTCCCCCACCCACTTCGTCTTCCCCCTCCCTTCCACCCAACCTCCTCCTCTTCCCTCCCCTCCCCTCCTTTCCCTTCCCCTTGCTCCATCATGCATGGTGTGGCAACAAGCAACGCCTTGCACATTCCCCTTCCTCACACCCCCTTCCCTCACATCCTCCCTTCCCACACAGCATAATGCACGGCATAGCGCTGCACAGGGGGCTGCAGGAAACGCCTTCTCCCCTCACATTCCGTTCCTTCTTCCCCCTTTTCCCCCCTCTCCCTCCCCCCTCCCCTCCTCCCCCAGCATAATGCACGGCATAGCGCTACACAGGGGCCTGCAGGAGGAGGCAGCGGAGGTGAAGGCACCCCCCCCTGCTGCCAAGGTGGGTGCGCCTGGTAGAGCGAATGAGAGCTGGCACGTATGTGAGTGTGACTGACTATGTGTGGCTGTACGTGGCTGTACGTGGCTGTACGTGGCTGTACGTGGCTGTACGTGGCTGTACGTGGCTGTACGTGGCTGTATGTGACTCTACTTGACTTGTATGTGACTCTACTTGACTTGTATGTGACTCTACTTGACTTGTATGTGACTCTACTTGACTTGTATGTGACTCTACTTGACTTGCTACTTGACTTGTATGTGGCTCTACTTGACTTGTATGTGACTCTACTTGACTTGTATGTGACTCTACTTGACTTGTATGTGACTCTACTTGACTTGTATGTGACTCTACTTGACTTGTATGTGACTCTACTTGACTTGTATGTGACTCTACTTGACTTGTATGTGACTCTACTTGACTTGTATGTGACTCTACTTGACTTGTATGTGACTCTACTTGACTTGTATGTGACTCTACTTGACTTGTATGTGACTTTACTTGACTTGTATGTGACTCTACTTGACTTGTATGTGACTCTACTTGACTTGTATGTGACTTTACTTGACTTGTATGTGACTCTATTTGACTTGTATGTGACTCTACTTGACTTGTATGTGACTCTACTTGACTTGTATGTGACTCTACTTGACTTGTATGTGACTCTACTTGACTTGTATGTGACTCTACTTGACTTGTATGTGACTCTACTTGACTTGTATGTGACTCTACTTGACTTGTATGTGACTCTACTTGACTTGTATGTGACTCTACTTGACTTGTATGTGACTCTACTTGACTTGTATGTGACTTTACTTGACTTGTATGTGACTCTACTTGACTTGTATGTGACTCTACTTGACTTGTATGTGACTCTACTTGACTTGTATGTGACTCTACTTGACTTGTATGTGACTTTACTTGACTTGTATGTGACTCTACTTGACTTGTATGTGACTCTACTTGACTTGTATGTGACTCTACTTGACTTGTATGTGACTCTACTTGACTTGTATGTGACTCTACTTGACTTGTATGTGACTCTACTTGACTTGTATGTGACTCTACTTGACTTGTATGTGACTCTACTTGACTTGTATGTGACTCTACTTGACTTGTATGTGACTCTACTTGACTTGTATGTGACTCTACTTGACTTGTATGTGACTCTACTTGACTTGTATGTGACTCTACTTGACTTGTATGTGACTCTACTTGACTTGTATGTGACTTTACTTGACTTGTATGTGACTCTACTTGACTTGTATGTGACTTTACTTGACTTGTATGTGACTCTACTTGACTTGTATGTGACTCTACTTGACTTGTATGTGACTCTACTTGACTTGTATGTGACTCTACTTGACTTGTATGTGACTCTACTTGACTTGTATGTGACTCTACTTGACTTGTATGTGACTCTACTTGACTTGTATGTGACTCTACTTGACTTGTATGTGACTCTACTTGACTTGTATGTGACTCTACTTGACTTGTATGTGACTCTACTTGACTTGTATGTGACTTTACTTGACTTGTATGTGACTTTACTTGACTTGTATGTGACTCTACTTGACTTGTATGTGACTTTACTTGACTTGTATGTGACTCTACTTGACTTGTATGTGACTCTACTTGACTTGTATGTGACTTTACTTGACTTGTATGTGACTCTACTTGACTTGTATGTGACTCTACTTGACTTGTATGTGACTCTACTTGACTTGTATGTGACTCTACTTGACTTGTATGTGACTCTACTTGACTTGTATGTGACTTTACTTGACTTGTATGTGACTCTACTTGACTTGTATGTGACTCTACTTGACTTGTATGTGACTTTACTTGACTTGTATGTGACTCTACTTGACTTGTATGTGACTCTACTTGACTTGTATGTGACTCTACTTGACTTGTATGTGACTCTACTTGACTTGTATGTGACTCTACTTGACTTGTATGTGACTCTACTTGACTTGTATGTGACTCTACTTGACTTGTATGTGACTCTACTTGACTTGTATGTGACTCTACTTGACTTGTATGTGACTCTACTTGACTTGTATGTGACTCTACTTGACTTGTATGTGACTCTACTTGACTTGTATGTGACTCTACTTGACTTGTATGTGACTCTACTTGACTTGTATGTGACTCTACTTGACTTGTATGTGACTCTACTTGACTTGTATGTGACTTTACTTGACTTGTATGTGACTTTACTTGACTTGTATGTGACTCTACTTGACTTGTATGTGACTCTACTTGACTTGTATGTGACTCTACTTGACTTGTATGTGACTCTACTTGACTTGTATGTGACTCTACTTGACTTGTATGTGACTCTACTTGACTTGTATGTGACTCTACTTGACTTGTATGTGACTCTACTTGACTTGTATGTGACTCTACTTGACTTGTATGTGACTCTACTTGACTTGTATGTGACTCTACTTGACTTGTATGTGACTCTACTTGACTTGTATGTGACTCTACTTGACTTGTATGTGACTCTACTTGACTTGTATGTGACTCTACTTGACTTGTATGTGACTCTACTTGACTTGTATGTGACTCTACTTGACTTGTATGTGACTCTACTTGACTTGTATGTGACTTTACTTGACTTGTATGTGACTCTACTTGACTTGTATGTGACTCTACTTGACTTGTATGTGACTCTACTTGACTTGTATGTGACTCTACTTGACTTGTATGTGACTCTACTTGACTTGTATGTGACTCTACTTGACTTGTATGTGACTCTACTTGACTTGTATGTGACTCTACTTGACTTGTATGTGACTCTACTTGACTTGTATGTGACTCTACTTGACTTGTATGTGACTCTACTTGACTTGTATGTGACTCTACTTGACTTGTATGTGACTTTACTTGACTTGTATGTGACTCTACTTGACTTGTATGTGACTTTACTTGACTTGTATGTGACTCTACTTGACTTGTATGTGACTCTACTTGACTTGTATGTGACTCTACTTGACTTGTATGTGACTCTACTTGACTTGTATGTGACTCTACTTGACTTGTATGTGACTCTACTTGACTTGTATGTGACTCTACTTGACTTGTATGTGACTCTACTTGACTTGTATGTGACTCTACTTGACTTGTATGTGACTCTACTTGACTTGTATGTGACTCTACTTGACTTGTATGTGACTTTACGTGACTTTTATGACGCTTTCCGTTCCTCCATTCCCCCAACTCCCAATACAGAGAATCACATCAGCCAACAAGTTCGAAGAGCGACTGCTGGTAGAGGTTGTCCCCCCAGAGGAAGTCACGTTCAGCCAGATCGGGGCCTTAGAGGCCGTGAAGGGCACTCTCAAGCAGCTCGTCATGCTGCCCCTCACGCGGCCAGAGCTCTTCACACGCAACCAGCTGACGTTGCGCCCCTCTCTCTCTTCTCCTCCTTCCCCTCCATACATTTTGCGGCTGCCCCTTCCCCAACCAGAAGATCACATCAGCCAACAAGTTTGAAGAGCGTCTACTAGCAGAAGTCGTGCCTCCAGAAGGGGTCGGAGTGACGTTCAGCCAGATCGGAGCTCTAGAGGCCGTGAAGGACACTCTCAAAGAGCTCGTGATGCTACCTCTCAGGCGCCCAGAGCTCTTCACACCTTGTGCCCCTCTGTCTCCCTCTTCCCCTCTCCTCCCTCTTCCCCCCCTCCCCTACCTGTTCCCTCTTTATCCCTCCTTCAATGCAGAAAATCACATCAGCCAACAAGTTCGAAGAGCGCCCAGAGCTCTTCTCACCTTGTGCCCCTCTCTCTCCTTCCCTCTCTCTCCCTCCCTCGCGCTCTTTTCTATGACCAGAAAATCACATCAGCCAACAAGTTCGAAGAGCGTCTACTAGCAGAGGTGGTCCCCCCAGAAGAGGTGGGAGTGACGTTCAGCCAGATCGGTGCACTGGAGGCCGTGAAGGACACACTCAAAGAACTCGTCATGCTGCCTCTCAGACGCCCAGAGCTCTTCACGCGCGGGCAGCTGACGCGGCCGTGCAAGGGCATTCTGCTGTTTGGCCCGCCCGGCACCGGCAAGACCATGCTCGCCAAGGCCGTTGCCACTGAGGCTGGGGCGAGCTTCATCAACATCTCCATGAGTGCTGTGCTGCACAAGGTGGGGTAGACTGGGCAGGTAGGGGCCCAGGAGAGCAGTGCTGTGCTGTGAGCATGTGCCGTGGCCACGGAGGCTGGCGCGAGCTTCATCAACATCTCCATGAGCGCTGTGCTGCACAAGGTGGGTTGGCAACTTGGCATGCAGCAGGCTGGTGCATAATTTTTGAGAATTCTAAAAAATCACTCATAAGGTGGTCTGGATAGCAAGGGCCGCAAGAGAGCAGGGTAGTGGAAGAGTGCAGTGCTGTAGGCATGTGCTGCTCTCAAGGTGCGTGGCCGTGCAGTGCAAGAGCATTCTGCTGTTTGGCCCTCCTGCCACCGGCAAGACCATGCTGGCCGAGGCTGTGAAGAGTGCTTCATAAGGTGGGTGGGATGCCTGGTCTAGAATAAACAGACAGTGTAGCAGCAGAGTACTACAGTCCCTCGCTTCTCACTCTCAAACTCCCCTCTCCCTCCTTGCCTTCTCTTTTTTTTTTTCTTTCTCACCGCGCTCTTTCTACCCTCACCGAGTGGCTGGGAGAGACGGAGAAGTCGGGCGATCTTCCCTTTAACATCCCTCTTCTCCTCCAACTCCTTCCCCACCCCCCATTTTATTCTTTCCAACCCTCTCCCACTTCCTCCCGTCTCTCTCTCTCTACCCGCCCCCAGTGGTTGGGAGAGGCGGAGAAGTCAGTGAAGGCGATCTTCTCGGTGGCCAGTAAGATGGCGCCAGCTGTCGTGTTTGTGGATGAGGTGGACAGCCTGCTGGGGCGGCGCGGGCAGTGGGGGGAGCACGAGGCGATGCGCAAGGTGAAGAACGAGTTCATGGCGTGCTGGGACGGGCTGCGCACCCGGGCGCATGAACGGGTGCTGGTTCTCGCGGCCACGAATCGACCGTTCGATCTTGACGACGCCATCATCCGACGGTTCCCACGACGGTAAGGCATTTCTTCTGTGGCTCGTCCTCTACCGTTTTCTTTGTGAGTGAGTGAGTGTGTGTGTGTGTGTGCGTGCGGGCGTGCGTGCGTGCGTGCGTGCGTGCGTGTTTCCGTGCCTTATACACGACATTTGGCTGTACTTTTTTGCTCGCCAGCATTCTACACTGGACAAGTGATAAGCAGTGCACCGCCACGTGAATTTGGCAATTTGCCTCGCGGATCCAGCACTAGCATGAGATGAGTCGATATTTGAGTCGACTCAAAATTTGGCTAGTTGCCTCGCGGATCCAGCACTAGCATGGATGAAAGAGGTGGCTGGCAAGGTGCGACGAGTCGAGTTTTACTCGGCCAAAGGAAATAAACTCAACCTTTTAACCTCTCTTCTTAGTATACTCCCCCGCGCCCCCCCTCTCACCCCCCCTTCTTCCCCCAGGTTGATGGTGGTCCTACCAGATGCGGACAGCAGGGAGAAGATCCTGCGAATGAGGCTTTTGAGGTGCATCAAAGGCTGCCCTGCCTAACCCTGAAAGTCCTTCGTGCTTCTGCCCCTTCCCTTCCTCCTCCCTCGCAGTCTGATGGTGGACCTACCAGATGCGGACAACAGGGAGAAGATCCTGCGGGTGATTCTAAAGGACGAGGAGGTGGAGGAGGGGTTTGACTATAAGGAGCTCGCTGCCATGACCGAGGGGTACTCAGGAAGCGACCTCAAGGTGCGTGGGTGTGACTGTAAAGGTGGGTGTGACTGTAAAGGTGCGTGGGACCATTAAGGTGTGTTTAGAGTTGAATCAGTCCACTCAAGGACGAGGAGGTGGAGCAGGGCTTTGAGTACAAGGAGCTCGCTGCCATGACTGAGGGGTACTTGGGGAGTGACCTCAAGGTGCGTGTGACATTAATTTGCGTGTGATTATAAAGGTTGATTTGAGTCGACTCATCACACTCAAGGACGAGGAGGTGGAGGAGGGCTTTGACTATAAAGAGCTCGCTGCCATGACTGAGGGGTACTCAGGAAGCGACCTCAAGGTGCGTGGGTGTGACTGTAAAGGTGCGTGTGACCATAAAGGTGTGTTTAGAGTTGACTCAGTCCACTCAAGGGCGAGGGGGTGGAGGAGGGATTTGACTATATGGAGCTTGGTGCCATGACCGAGGGGTACTCGGGGAGTGACCTTAAGGTGCGTGTGACTATATGGGGGTGTGGTGCTACTGATACATGCGCTGGAGGAGGATAGTCTGTGTGATTGCACAATCATATATATCTATATCCATGTGTGATTGCACAATCATATATATCTATATCCATGTGTGATTGCACAATCATATATATCTATATCCATGTGTGATTGCACAATCATATATATCTATGTGTATGTGTGTGTGTGCGCGCGCGCCCGCACGTGTGTGTGAGTGCGTGTGTGTGAGTGCTAATGCTGTGACACCAAGGTCCTCTATGATCCCTCTTGCGATCGACCTCCCCTTTTCTGTCCTCCTCGCTTCTCTTCCCTCCCCTGCCCTCCTGCCATGCCATTGCCCGCGCTCCCTCCCTCTCATTAGAACCTGTGTGTGACAGCGGCATATCAGCCTATCAAGGAGATTCTCAAACAAGAGCCCTCCCCTCCTGTGGCCGCCTCTCCCGTCCCCTCCCCTCAACTGCTCTCTTGTCCGCTCACCACCCCTGCCCTCCCTGCCAGCAGAACCTGTGTGTGACTGCGGCATATCAGCCTATCAAGGAGATTCTCAAACAAGAGCCCTCCCCTCCTGTGCCCGCCTCTCCCGTCCCCTCCCCTCTACTGCTCTCTTGTCCGCTCACCACCCCTGCCCTCCCTCCCAGCAGAACCTGTGTGTGACTGCGGCATATCAGCCTATTAAGGAGATTCTTAAACAAGAGGAGGAGGAGAAGGTGAGTAAGAGGTCAAGGTGAGGAGGAAGAAAAGGTGAAGGGCGAAGCCAATTTTTTCTTTTTTGCAAGGAAGGGTAAGTGAAAGGGAGTGCTGTGCAGTGGTCAGAAAGTGATAAAAGGTTCTGTCGGTGCTGCTTGCTTTGTCCAGCCAAGACAGCAGAGTAGGGAGCCGTTTTTCGCTCTTTTTCTAAGACGTGTCTCAATCTCCGGCCTTTATTTCTTGCCAAACCTGTTTCAAGCAGAAGAGGCTGCAGCTGGAGGAAGCTTCCAAGAAGGCGGAGAGCTCAACTGCAGCAGCAGGAGGAGTGCCAAAAGCACCACCACCCGCACCAGACGCTGCTGCTGCAACTGCTGCTGGGAGCAGTGAGGGAGGTGGAGGGGTAAGGGAAGGAGATTCAGCAGCGGCAGCGGCACCAGCAAGAACAAGTGAATCTGACGATTTACCAGGGAAGCCCAGCCAAGAGAATCAGCATGGTTCTGCCACTCCTGCCGCTGCTGCTGCTGACGACGCCACTGCAGCACCTGCTGACTCGACTTCTGCACCTGCGGATACCACTGCAGCAACAGCAGCAGAAAAGGAGAGTGGCGAGGTCAATGTGGAAGAAGTGCAGCCGAGTGTGTTGACAGGTGTGTCAGGACCTTCTCAAACGGAGGGTGGTTCTGTGGTGTCGGGGTGTGGTTTGAACCAGGGACAAGGTGCAGAGAGCGGTGATGGGTTGGATGGTAGTGGTATGGCCGGCAGTGAGGTGGGTGCCAAGCAGGTTCTGTTTATTGAGGGCGATGAGGCTGGGGAGAAAAGCTGCTTGGAGGTTGCTTGTAATGGAGATTCTTCTAACGAGAACGTGAGCAGGGGTGAGGAAGATGGTGAGCAGGAAACGGGAATGGAAGGGAATGGGAGAAGAGGAGGGAGGGGAGGAGAGGACGGTTTGAGTTTGAAGGGTTGTGACAATGGCGGTGGTGCTGTGAAGGGGGTAGAAGATGAGCGGAGTGCTGCACTGAAGGACCGCGAAGGTAGACCATGCGTTGGAGAGGTGATCAAAATGAACGGCACTGTGCCGAGTTCCGAGCTAGTAGACGGTGCTTTAGCGAGTGACCGTTCCATGAATGGCGTTTCAGAGAGTGTGAATGCAGGTGAAGAGCATGCGGTATGCAGGAAAGATGCCAGGTCAGGTGAGATTGAGAGCAGAGAGAAGGAAGAGAAAGAGGTGGGAGCGGAGATGCGAGAGGGAGGTGCGGGGGTGGGAGAGACAGCAGGAGGGCGGAGCATGGAAGGAGGAGTAGCAGAGCAATTGCGGGCAGATGAGAGTCAAGCTAATGAGGGTGAATCTGTAGCAGGGGAGGCTGGGAGCGACAGGGACAGAGGGAATGAGAGGGTTGCAGGGGATGACTGTGCTGCGGTGGCAGGGGGCAGTATGGTTGCTGGGGACAATGCCGTTGCATTGGAGAGTGAAGGTGAAGGGGTTTCTGAAAGGAAAGAGGCTGCAACTGCAAAACCACAAGGTGAAGAAGCAGGTTCATTGACCAGTTCACGGGATAACGAGGACAGAGGGGATGAAAAGGGGCGGAGTGAGAAGGTGGAGGGAAGGGAGGGAGAAGCAGAGGACGCAGCAGAAGAAGCGGCGAAAGAAGCAGCAGAGGAGGCAGAAGAGGAGGCGCTAGTGAGGGGCATAGTGGAGGATATCTTAAGGCGGGGCGCTGATGGTAGCAGTGACTCCCCTGCTGACCTGTGCGCTGACATGGCAGCTGCGCTTCAGATGGTCAAGGAGATCACATGTGAGGACGACACGTCAGCAACAGATGCCGAAGAAAGGGGAGGTGATTCAGGCGCAGAGGGGCAAGGCAAAGCTGGCGATAAAAGCGCAGGTGAAGGTGAAGCAGAGAGTAAAGATGTGGATGGCAACCCAGGAGGCTCAGGAAACACTGTGAGAGACTATTCAGGTTCAGGAGAGGCTCAAAGACAAGGCCAGTCGCAGTCACAAGCACCAGACTCCGCAACTTCTCTCCCTCGCCCTCGCAGTGTCTCGCTCCTCCAATTGGCCGAGGACAGCTGGCGCGAGCGCACTGGTGCAGGCCTGTCGGGGCTGGGCAAGGCAGGAGCAGGCGGTGCTGCTGGCAGTGGTAGCAGCAGCGGTGGTGGTGGCGGTGGTAACCGCGTGTTACGGCTGCGGCCAATCACGATGGCGGACATGCGGGCGGCGAAGCAGCAGGTGGCGCCAAGCACAGCGGGGGACAGCAGCAGCATGGCGGAGCTGAGGCAGTGGAACGACCTCTATGGGGAGGGCGGCTCACGCAAGAAGGAGAAACTCTCCTACTTCCTCTGAGGTGCTGCAAGAAGGTGACTCTTGAGTGGACTCATAAGTCACGGCGGGGGACAGCAGCAGCATGGCGGAGCTGAGGCAGTGGAACGACCTCTATGGGGAGGGCGGCTCACGCAAGAAGGAGAAACTCTCCTACTTCCTCTGAGGTGCTGCAAGAAGGTGACTCTTGAGTGGACTCATAAGTCACGGCGGGGGACAGCAGCAGCATGGCGGAGCTGAGGCAGTGGAACGACCTCTATGGGGAGGGCGGCTCACGCAAGAAGGAGAAACTCTCCTACTTCCTCTGAGGTGCTGCAAGAAGGTGACTCTTGAGTGGACTCATAAGTCACGGCGGGGGACAGCAGCAACATGGCGGAGCTGAGGCAGTGGAACGACCTCTATGGGGAGGGCGGCTCACGCAAGAAGGAGAAACTCTCCTACTTCCTCTGAGGTGCTGCAAGAAGGTGACTCTTGAGTGGACTCATAAGTCACGGCGGGGGACAGCAGCAGCATGGCGGAGCTGAGGCAGTGGAACGACCTCTATGGGGAGGGCGGCTCACGCAAGAAGGAGAAACTCTCCTACTTCCTCTGAGGTGCTGCAAGAAGGTGACTCTTGAGTGGACTCATAAGTCACGGCGGGGGACAGCAGCAGCATGGCGGAGCTGAGGCAGTGGAACGACCTCTATGGGGAGGGCGGCTCACGCAAGAAGGAGAAACTCTCCTACTTCCTCTGAGGTGCTGCAAGAAGGTGACTCTTGAGTGGACTCATAAGTCACGGCGGGGGACAGCAGCAGCATGGCGGAGCTGAGGCAGTGGAACGACCTCTATGGGGAGGGCGGCTCACGCAAGAAGGAGAAACTCTCCTACTTCCTCTGAGGTGCTGCAAGAAGGTGACTCTTGAGTGGACTCATAAGTCACGGCGGGGGACAGCAGCAGCATGGCGGAGCTGAGGCAGTGGAACGACCTCTATGGGGAGGGCGGCTCACGCAAGAAGGAGAAACTCTCCTACTTCCTCTGAGGTGCTGCAAGAAGGTGACTCTTGAGTGGACTCATAAGTCACGGCGGGGGACAGCAGCAGCATGGCGGAGCTGAGGCAGTGGAACGACCTCTATGGGGAGGGCGGCTCACGCAAGAAGGAGAAACTCTCCTACTTCCTCTGAGGTGCTGCAAGAAGGTGACTCTTGAGTGGACTCATAAGTCACGGCGGGGGACAGCAGCAGCATGGCGGAGCTGAGGCAGTGGAACGACCTCTATGGGGAGGGCGGCTCACGCAAGAAGGAGAAACTCTCCTACTTCCTCTGAGGTGCTGCAAGAAGGTGACTCTTGAGTGGACTCATAAGTCACGGCGGGGGACAGCAGCAGCATGGCGGAGCTGAGGCAGTGGAACGACCTCTATGGGGAGGGCGGCTCACGCAAGAAGGAGAAACTCTCCTACTTCCTCTGAGGTGCTGCAAGAAGGTGACTCTTGAGTGGACTCATAAGTCACGGCGGGGGACAGCAGCAGCATGGCGGAGCTGAGGCAGTGGAACGACCTCTATGGGGAGGGCGGCTCACGCAAGAAGGAGAAACTCTCCTACTTCCTCTGAGGTGCTGCAAGAAGGTGACTCTTGAGTGGACTCATAAGTCACGGCGGGGGACAGCAGCAGCATGGCGGAGCTGAGGCAGTGGAACGACCTCTATGGGGAGGGCGGCTCACGCAAGAAGGAGAAACTCTCCTACTTCCTCTGAGGTGCTGCAAGAAGGTGACTCTTGAGTGGACTCATAAGTCACGGCGGGGGACAGCAGCAGCATGGCGGAGCTGAGGCAGTGGAACGACCTCTATGGGGAGGGCGGCTCACGCAAGAAGGAGAAACTCTCCTACTTCCTCTGAGGTGCTGCAAGAAGGTGACTCTTGAGTGGACTCATAAGTCACGGCGGGGGACAGCAGCAGCATGGCGGAGCTGAGGCAGTGGAACGACCTCTATGGGGAGGGCGGCTCACGCAAGAAGGAGAAACTCTCCTACTTCCTCTGAGGTGCTGCAAGAAGGTGACTCTTGAGTGGACTCATAAGTCACGGCGGGGGACAGCAGCAGCATGGCGGAGCTGAGGCAGTGGAACGACCTCTATGGGGAGGGCGGCTCACGCAAGAAGGAGAAACTCTCCTACTTCCTCTGAGGTGCTGCAAGAAGGTGACTCTTGAGTGGACTCATAAGTCACGGCGGGGGACAGCAGCAGCATGGCGGAGCTGAGGCAGTGGAACGACCTCTATGGGGAGGGCGGCTCACGCAAGAAGGAGAAACTCTCCTACTTCCTCTGAGGTGCTGCAAGAAGGTGACTCTTGAGTGGACTCATAAGTCACGGCGGGGGACAGCAGCAGCATGGCGGAGCTGAGGCAGTGGAACGACCTCTATGGGGAGGGCGGCTCACGCAAGAAGGAGAAACTCTCCTACTTCCTCTGAGGTGCTGCAAGAAGGTGACTCTTGAGTGGACTCATAAGTCACGGCGGGGGACAGCAGCAGCATGGCGGAGCTGAGGCAGTGGAACGACCTCTATGGGGAGGGCGGCTCACGCAAGAAGGAGAAACTCTCCTACTTCCTCTGAGGTGCTGCAAGAAGGTGACTCTTGAGTGGACTCATAAGTCACGGCGGGGGACAGCAGCAGCATGGCGGAGCTGAGGCAGTGGAACGACCTCTATGGGGAGGGCGGCTCACGCAAGAAGGAGAAACTCTCCTACTTCCTCTGAGGTGCTGCAAGAAGGTGACTCTTGAGTGGACTCATAAGTCACGGCGGGGGACAGCAGCAGCATGGCGGAGCTGAGGCAGTGGAACGACCTCTATGGGGAGGGCGGCTCACGCAAGAAGGAGAAACTCTCCTACTTCCTCTGAGGTGCTGCAAGAAGGTGACTCTTGAGTGGACTCATAAGTCACGGCGGGGGACAGCAGCAGCATGGCGGAGCTGAGGCAGTGGAACGACCTCTATGGGGAGGGCGGCTCACGCAAGAAGGAGAAACTCTCCTACTTCCTCTGAGGTGCTGCAAGAAGGTGACTCTTGAGTGGACTCATAAGTCACGGCGGGGGACAGCAGCAGCATGGCGGAGCTGAGGCAGTGGAACGACCTCTATGGGGAGGGCGGCTCACTCAAGAAGGAGAAACTCTCCTACTTCCTCTGAGGTGCTGCAAGAAGGTGACTCTTGAGTGGACTCATAAGTCACGGCGGGGGACAGCAGCAGCATGGCGGAGCTGAGGCAGTGGAACGACCTCTATGGGGAGGGCGGCTCACGCAAGAAGGAGAAACTCTCCTACTTCCTCTGAGGTGCTGCAAGAAGGTGACTCTTGAGTGGACTCATAAGTCACGGCGGGGGACAGCAGCAGCATGGCGGAGCTGAGGCAGTGGAACGACCTCTATGGGGAGGGCGGCTCACGCAAGAAGGAGAAACTCTCCTACTTCCTCTGAGGTGCTGCAAGAAGGTGACTCTTGAGTGGACTCATAAGTCACGGCGGGGGACAGCAGCAGCATGGCGGAGCTGAGGCAGTGGAACGACCTCTATGGGGAGGGCGGCTCACGCAAGAAGGAGAAACTCTCCTACTTCCTCTGAGGTGCTGCAAGAAGGTGACTCTTGAGTGGACTCATAAGTCACGGCGGGGGACAGCAGCAGCATGGCGGAGCTGAGGCAGTGGAACGACCTCTATGGGGAGGGCGGCTCACGCAAGAAGGAGAAACTCTCCTACTTCCTCTGAGGTGCTGCAAGAAGGTGACTCTTGAGTGGACTCATAAGTCACGGCGGGGGACAGCAGCAGCATGGCGGAGCTGAGGCAGTGGAACGACCTCTATGGGGAGGGCGGCTCACGCAAGAAGGAGAAACTCTCCTACTTCCTCTGAGGTGCTGCAAGAAGGTGACTCTTGAGTGGACTCATAAGTCACGGCGGGGGACAGCAGCAGCATGGCGGAGCTGAGGCAGTGGAACGACCTCTATGGGGAGGGCGGCTCACGCAAGAAGGAGAAACTCTCCTACTTCCTCTGAGGTGCTGCAAGAAGGTGACTCTTGAGTGGACTCATAAGTCACGGCGGGGGACAGCAGCAGCATGGCGGAGCTGAGGCAGTGGAACGACCTCTATGGGGAGGGCGGCTCACGCAAGAAGGAGAAACTCTCCTACTTCCTCTGAGGTGCTGCAAGAAGGTGACTCTTGAGTGGACTCATAAGTCACGGCGGGGGACAGCAGCAGCATGGCGGAGCTGAGGCAGTGGAACGACCTCTATGGGGAGGGCGGCTCACGCAAGAAGGAGAAACTCTCCTACTTCCTGTGAGGTGCTGCAAGAAGGTTACTCTTGAGTGGACTCATAAGTCACGGCGGGGGACAGCAGCAGCATGGCGGAGCTGAGGCAGTGGAACGACCTCTATGGGGAGGGCGGCTCACGCAAGAAGGAGAAACTCTCCTACTTCCTCTGAGGTGCTGCAAGAAGGTGACTCTTGAGTGGACTCATAAGTCACGGCGGGGGACAGCAGCAGCATGGCGGAGCTGAGGCAGTGGAACGACCTCTATGGGGAGGGCGGCTCACGCAAGAAGGAGAAACTCTCCTACTTCCTCTGAGGTGCTGCAAGAAGGTGACTCTTGAGTGGACTCATAAGTCACGGCGGGGGACAGCAGCAGCATGGCGGAGCTGAGGCAGTGGAACGACCTCTATGGGGAGGGCGGCTCACGCAAGAAGGAGAAACTCTCCTACTTCCTCTGAGGTGCTGCAAGAAGGTGACTCTTGAGTGGACTCATAAGTCACGGCGGGGGACAGCAGCAGCATGGCGGAGCTGAGGCAGTGGAACGACCTCTATGGGGAGGGCGGCTCACGCAAGAAGGAGAAACTCTCCTACTTCCTCTGAGGTGCTGCAAGAAGGTGACTCTTGAGTGGACTCATAAGTCACGGCGGGGGACAGCAGCAGCATGGCGGAGCTGAGGCAGTGGAACGACCTCCATGGGGAGGGCGGCTCGCGCAAGAAGGAGAAACTCTCCTACTTCCTGTGAGGTGCTGCACGAAGGTGATCCTTGAGTGGACTCATAAGGCACGGCGGGGGACAGCAGCAGCATGGCGGAGCTCAGGCAGTGGAACGACCTCTATGGGGAGGGAGGCTGGCGCAAGAAGGAAAAGCTCTCCTACTTCCTTTGACGCGCCGCCATAAAGATTCTATTTCCCTTGCCTTTATCTTGGTTCTTGAGGCATCATGAGAAAGGGAAAGCGAAGCTTTGGCTCTGCTTCCTGCTGACTCCATCCTGCTGTGCTTTCTCTGACTTCCACGTTCCTTGCATTGTGTACGCGTGCTGCTAGCAAAGCAAACGGGCTGAACAGCATATTTCAGCTAGCCGGAGTTTAGAGATCAGTGAACAAGGTTTTTGGAATTGTTGTTTTGATACATTTTACTTTTTAGGAGATGGTGGGTTGTGTAAGTAACGCTCTATAGATCACAACAGCCTGCTGAAGCAGGTAGGCACATTGGTGCTGCCTTCAGTTATATTTGCTGGCTTGGTTCTCCTGTGTCATCTGTTCGAACAATTACGGTAGCAGTGCCAGTCATGGGAGAGGCTGTTTGACTTAGATATGCAATGTTTGGTATGTGGTGGTAAACATTGTGACTTGACCCCACTAACCGGTACCAGTATTTTCCAAATTACTATGTACATTCCCTAAACATGCTTAGCATTCTAGGGATGATACTAAACCTAAACAAATGAAGTAGATACTATACAAGACCAACCTAAACAATGCTGCCAGACACACCAGTAGCATTAAGTTGCACGCATTGCTCTCAGACCACTCCCATTGCCACATGTCAGTCTTCACAGCCGCCATGGAAGTCTCATTGCACCCACCCTTGCCCTCACATTGCCCATTTTCCCCTCAGGTTGTACACTGCTAACTCTCTCCTGTTGCCTCAAATCAGAACACACAGACGCAGCCAGGACGTTTCTCCCTTCCGCAGCAACAGCCTTCACCACATGAGCTCCTGCACTGTTTGACTTGGAACCGGCTGCTGCTTTTCTCGAGGCTGAATTCTTGTCTGCAAGCAACATTGCTGCGCCAGCAAGCAGAAGAATTGTGCAAGCAAGCAACAGAGCTGGGCCTGCAAGCAACATTGCTGAGCCTGCAAACAACAGCGCTGCGCCGGCAAGCGACAGAGCCGTGCCTGCAGTAGGACCCATTGCCGCTCCCATGCCAGGGTCCACAGCAGCACCCACATCAGCATTCATCTCAGCAACCACGTCAGCATCAGCAGCAACACCCACGTCAGCATGAACCGCACCACCCACATCAGCATTCATTGCAGCACCCACGTTAGCATCAACCGCACCACCGCACCACCCACGTCAGCATCCAGTGCAGCACCCACATCAGCTTCCACAGCAACACCCACGTCAGCATCAACCGCAACAGCCACGTCAGCATCCTCTGCAGCAACCATGCCAGCATCCTCTGCAGCAACCATGCCAGCATCCTCTGCAGCACCCATGCCAGCATCCACCGGAACACCCACGTCAACAGCCGCTCCTGTAGACACCGTTGCTGCCTTTCCTGAGCAACCATTTCCGCCCTTCTTCAAGTTCCTGTGAGCACGTCTCTCGTAACGTTTGCCCAAGTCAAGCCAAAGCTGAACTGGTTGCTGTAGTCGACGTGTTCTCCAGTACTGTAGAGCCTGTGATAAACAACACTCCCCTCAACAGCACTGGTGCTGAAGCTGCTGCTAAGGCTGCTCTCAGTCCGTGAAGACCTATAAGAAGAGTCACCTGCAGTGTCAATAGAATCCCCTTCAGCATCAGCGAGGTCCTCTGTAGGACCGGAATGATCCACTGAAGCCTCGGAGGAGAACATTGCAGCATCATCAGACGTTTCTGGTGCCACGAAACAGCCCTCAGTAGCCTCGGATGATTCCTCTGCACCATAATAGGCGTACCATTCGGCCTCATTCCACACCCCCTCCTCCTCTGCAGCCGAATAGGAAGGTAAAAAGGTTATAACAGGTTGAATCGGCATCTGTAAAAGTGCTTCACGGTTTCTAAAGAATGCGAGGGCTTCAGCGAAAGTTGGGTAGTCGTTGGCATAAGCCATGAAATGATAGATAAGGTCTCGAGATAAGAGCTGAGGTAGAAAACCGAGAATAGCTCGAGAGAACTGGGAGGATACACAGTGAGACTGTGGAGAGAAACTTTGAAAATGACTGGATCTGAAGCTGCGGCTTTCTAGGAGGGCTCTGGGTCAGAGGGAGGAGGAGCAGAGGGGTCAGGTTCGGAAAGGCTAGACCCATGAGCCGCTGTAGGTTTGCCATGCTCCGGGACTTTCTGAGCATTGCTTTGGACTGTAGGCCTGGATCGAAAGATTCTAAAGGGGGCAGCAAAGGAAACAAACGGGTTGACTCTCACGTAAGATTCGAACATGGCTGCGACGCGGAATTTTGCGTTTCGCTGCCCTCTCTGAGATCGGAGCTTCTGCCTCGGTATGCATTCCGAGCCAGGCGGCTCGTTGCCAGTACGCGCTCCCAGGGATGCATTTTTTTCATGAGTGGGCAGAATGTCGAACCACGGATTCTTGGGAAACAGGCAAATCGGTAACTTTAAACTGCCCGCTTGAGAACGATACAATAGGAATTATCTATGGCCCGACAACTCCGTGGAACAGCATCGACCATTTGCTCCGTGAATTCAGCGGTGGTGCCTGATCGGAGATTATCGGGACTTGCAGGCAGCTCCCCTGCGAATGAATTGGGTGGTAGTATTGAATCTGAACTCGTTAGAGAGGTTCTCGTGACTTGAATCTAGGCATTTTCTAGGTTGGAGTTGGTACAGTTAGATTCGAATTAGATCCCACAGGTAAAAGTTGGCTGAAATTTCAGCCTAAATACATAAGAACAAGCTTAACATCAGAGCAGGGATAAAAATTTACACTTTTTGATCATCCTTGAGTCTTAAAAAATCCCTGAAATTCAGCGTTCAAACCTAAGGGTGCATTCCTGTGTAGACACAAATGTCTCAATCACTTTGTGACACCCAAAAACAGCCTATACTGTATTGTGTCACAATTGCGAGTCGTGTTTCTGCGACATGTACTGTATTTTTAATTGGTCAGCGTGAAACGCGCTAACGTCGCGGACGAGTTGTAAATTGACCCGTCAATTTCGGAAAGTCGTTCGCGGTCCGAAATGTCAATGTATTTGGACCCCTCGACAATGACAATTCCGCGCGGGAAAAGAATCCGCGCGTCACAACCACACCCCAGCCAATCATTTGACGAGACTGGTGTACAGTCATTTCGGAAAACCAATCAGATGCGCACAACTGTTTTTTTCGCCTGATCGCCTTTTGTCGCGATACATCCAACGTTTGAGACGCGACATTGAAAAACTGTGTAGACGCGACTCGGAAAATAGTGCATTGAGACATTTGTGTCTACACAGGAATGTACCCTAAAACCAGCATAAAATTCCTGACTTCTGAGGCCCTGCTTGCCAATATTTGAATTGCATTGGGGCTTGCATGATCTTGGCTGACAATGCAATACTGTACAACAGTACCGTATCGGGATCAGCTGTGACAGGTTGTTGTGACAGTTCACAGTTGTAGTGCCACAGTTTCATACACCATCACGAACACTACATCACCCGGACCCATCAGAATTCACCCCTCCTAGCGTGGAGTGGACTTGCTTTGCGTCTCGAAGTAAGAAAGTGGGGCATTGACCAGTCTCTCTAACAATTGCTCGAACTTGCTGTCACTCACTTGAATTAACGTGCTTAGACTAATTTCTGCACCGCTCGACTCACCACCAGGCCCATCCCTGTCCTTCTCCCTCACACCTGACAAAACATTATCATTCTTGCTGCCAAAACGGCCAGCACTAGGGCCAACCTTGCCCTTCCTCACATCATCTCCTCTATCCCCATAACCATTGCACTCTCTCTGTGAAGTACCACTGCCAATATCACCGTCACTGCCACCATCTCCACCACTCCCTCTCTCCCCATCAACCACACACCGGGGCAGGCACACAATCCCGCCACCTCGCTCCACCACCCTAATCCCCGCATCCCTCACGCGCTTTATCCTCGGTCTAATCCGCTGCTCCAAACTGTAACACGCCACCAGCGGCACGGCCACCACAGCCGCCTCCGACAGCCCCAGCTCGCGCCGAAAAAACTCCGCCTTGGGAGCGATGTTGCTCTTCCAGCTCAAATGCAGCAGAGCAGGGTACCGCACAAACAGGTGGGAGAGTTCTTGGGGGGAGAGCTGCGGGAGCAACGCTCGCCAGTGGTTGAAGTTTGAGAGCATAGTGGTGGAGTTGGTTGCGAGGATACTGGAGCGTTTCTCGACCACTTTTCGGGCGTTTTCCTGCCCGCCGACGATCTCGCACAGGGTGTGGAAGGTGGAGATCATCGTGCTCGCTGAGTGCGCTGGCAGCCGTCGGATCTCCCGGAAGACTTTCCGTGCGAGCGTTTCTGACCCTAGGATTGTTTGGAAGGCGTCGAGCTTGGATTGGAGTTCTGGGATTGGCTGGGTGAGGATGTACAGCTGGCGTTGGACGATGGTGCTGACGTGGCCCTCGCCTGCCACCTGTGCGAGGAAATCTAATCTTTCCTGAACTCGTTCGGATGAAAGTTGCAGCAGACGTGGACAGGCTTTGATGATGTATGACGTGTCCTTGATTCCCATGTTTAACAGCTTCTGGACACGTGGCTGCAGCTGAGTGGTCAGATCGAACGCGAAAGCGCGCGGAAATCTCCTCAGAACCATTCCAATGCTCTCTCCGTCGGTCAGCCCGAGCCCGTTCAGGTAACGCACAATCTCCGTTATTTTTTCCGCGGACTGCCCGAGCCACACGGAATCGTACAGCGCGCCGAGCGCCAAGTCGCGCGGAGGTACCCCGCATGCCAGCAGCACGCGCACGCCCGGAAGGACCTTCTCCGCCATTCCGCTCCGCGCCAGCCCCGGGCGAGAGCGCAACACGCGGCGCACTTCGCGGTCGTCCATCCCCCACCCGCGGAAGAGTTCTAGAAGGTCGGCGGGGACTTTGTCGATCGAGACGACCCTCCTGGGCGACGGTTGCGGGTCAAGCGACGTCGTCGCATCTGCGTCATGCGACGGATCGCGACCCGCGATTGGGTCGTCGCCTGTCGCTGACGTGGCTCGCCTCGTCCCGTATAGCCTTCTGCCGCCTCTGACGTCAACTGCTCTCTCGCATTCGAGTCGCGTCAGCCGCGCAACTGCTACCGCCCCCACGGGACTAAGCCCACCATCCCGCGCCTTGGCGAATGGGATCGTCGTCCGACTCGTGAAAATCTCGCGACTTTCGACAACGGATCGTCGCAAAATTCGGTGCGAGGAGGAATGAGCAGATTTACTCTCAGCACTCGTAAGACTCGCATGAATTAATTTACTCGAATCGCGAACGAGAACGTTATCGGAAGCACAAGACGCGGGAGGATCGGCCACGGCGGGAGTAAAGGTGGACGAAAGGACGGCACCGGGCGGGGAACGAGAGGGCAAGTACGGGAGCGGCGTGACTCGCGGCCAATCAAGATGGAGCTCGACCAGACGGTCCGCCGCGCTGCGAACTAGTCGAATAATGCCTTTCCGGCGCTCCATTGCCGTTGGTTTCAGCGTGAGAGGAGACTAGCGGCGCCCACGCACAAGCATTTCGCGCACGGCTATGAATCGCCTGACATAAACGGCCGCAGCGCATGGACAAAACTCTCCGCGTTGGTTGGGCAACGGATTCTCGGAACTTCGAGAGTGCCGTGTGATAAAAAGACGAGCCAGCAATATTGGGAAGAGATTGGAATGAGCAACATACTATATCGTGTATAACTGTTGCGAAGTGGGAAGTGGCGGCTGCAGTATCTGAAGTGTAGAACAAATTCAAAATGTAAAACGGCCTTATTCAAAAATTGGCAACACATGCAGACCAGCACGTCATGTTTCACAATGTGAATAATGGTCAATCTAGTCCTTTGGGAAAGATGAGATGACCACCTGTCTAGAGTATAGATGTTTGCCAGACGCCGCTGGTTGGCATCCGTTTGATCACTACCGTAGCTTCTAACAAAATGACAAACCAAGACATGGCCGAGCATGTCTAGCCACCCAACAAGCCTTTCTGAAGGCTGTTTTAGCAGGAAACGTATCAAAACAAACCATTGGAAGTTCATTCCACCCGACGCTTGCGATACGAATGGCAGAGAAACGCCGCTCCATCAAAAGGCTGTTACACTTGCTCCGATCGTCCTCCTCACCTTGCCTACACTGTTATCTCTAACCCCAACATAGAATAGCGAGGGATTTGTGAACACCCCAGCGTCAACCAACTGCTTGAGTGGGCTGACAGGTTGGTAACATCGCGGAAAAGGCAAGTGCCAAAAAAAACTTAAAAGTGGCGCTTTCATAACTTTGCAGTTGCATTCTCCGCGCAAGAAAAAAGTTTGACTCAGCAACAGTGGTAGCGTCAGTAACTACAACCGTCACCTTCCCGTCACTTTCTGGCAACAACGTGTGCAGATTCCCGCATCCGCCACGCAAGTGTACAGGCAACTTCACAACTGGAATACAGTAACCACACACGTTACTCGGATGGTCACCATAACGTTGCACCGCAACCACCCACCTCACATACCTCCCAGTAACCAAAACATGTCGCGACGTACACGTGCCCACGTGTACCTGAATTTCAACCATACCTGCCACGTAAGCGTACACACCCACTACATGCCGAACCTACCACAGCCGCACGATTACGCACCACCACACCAACTATGCACCGTTCACGTGTAAACAGCTCCGCGAGTCGCCAATACTGTTACAATACCTCCAGCCAAACGAGTACCATAGATTAGGGTAGTGCATACCACATCCAGCCCGTCCATTCTCCATGCATTGTATGCCTCGCACCACTACCCCCCTGCCACGTGCAACTCACAACGTCCATTGATACAGAACTACCACGCGCCATCTCACCACCTGCTTGTCCCACGTGTCCTCAACACCCGCCATCGTACTATGTGTTACCCCTTCTCGCAGCTACCTCGCATGCGTAGCCCAACCACTTGCACGCGACCATGTTCTACACCCTACGTAGCATCAACAACTCATAGGCTGCCACGTATCAGCCACTGTTTAGGGAGATCGCACCGGCGATCGCAAATGCGTGCGGCAGCAATTCGCACAGCCCCTACGCGTCGCATCACCACCTTCAGACCTCACAGGGTTGGTGCACGACACCCGCGACCACCAGCGTGGCAGTTGGGCCACGTTGAGGTTTCGCACCGCTCGTAACATGGTCGCCTGCACCACACTTCCAGTGTCGCACAACACGCATCACCAAACACCAGCCGTCCACGGAGGACGGGAACGATCCACCCCTCCACCGCCACGCGTCACTTTCACACATTCCACAAACGCCACCATGCCAAGCACACAAACACCGTGCCGACAAATGGGGCCTCGTCAACTGTTCGAACCAACCACGGCAATCCACGTGTTGCTGTCAAAGTAGGCGGATCCCAAACCATTGCCCCTCTCGTGAGCACTCCGTCAAACGCGGCGACATTTGCGGTGCACATGACGCGCGCCCCGGAAAATTTGATCAATTGGTCCTAGCCAACCAGCATTGCCCGCCGATGTCTGTCTGGATGGATATTGACCCCGTCATGTCCATTACACACACTCAAAACAAGCATACAAGAACAATTACCAAAACCGTCTACCGCGCAACAAACACCGTAAACTGCAACAGAAATCTAGTCACCTACAAACCCCAAACCAGCCGCACGTATCTCAATAGCGCACGCAAAAGCAACATCACCTCCCACCACGGCAAGGTCTATGCCCACCAACAGCCCGTCCTCCCCCTCCCCGCCGCTCTACACACCCCCGACAGACACCGACTGCACATCGTTCCCGGCGGCGTCTCCTCCGCTAGCGCCTGCATTGGGCTTCATGCTCTCAAGCCCACATGCAGAAAGGCGGAGGCCATGGCGTCCCCATATCCACTCCTCTTTCTCCTCGTCGTACTCTGGATTGAAGTGACGGATGGCCTGTGAAACGGAGCCCTTCACAAGCACCTTGAGCCCGTTCACCACGTGGCCGTTCCCCCCCGCCGAGTTAGAGAGACGGCCCATCCTCTGCTCCCAGTACATGATGCTGTCGGACACCTGACAGGAGATTCACACCGCGCACACATTGTAAGCCTACAGCCCAGGCGAGGAGTAACCACCAAATTTAAACATTGTCACTCACCACGTGCTCTAGCCACGCAAGGTGGTACACCTTCAAAGTGAGCGGCAGTGCAGCCTTCTTCGGAATGAAGGCAGCCTTAACGCACGCCGCAAACGCCGCAGAACCAAAGGGCATCCCGTCGCGGTCGTTAGCCCAGTTGCTCAACACCAGATCATCTGCACATTGCCGACAGCTCGGACGAGTAAAAAGACTACACCCAAGCACGCAACCGTCACCAATGTGTAGAAGCGCCTGAACACCGCTTACCGCTCTCATCCGCTCCGAGCCCAATGCGCTCGCGAATCTGCTCCAGCGTCCGTGCGTTGTCCCTTGCCCACGGGCTTGCCTCGTCGCGCTCGTCCCGGAAGAATCCAAGCTTCGGGAGCGCAATGTCCCGGACCCGTGCTGCAGCCCTTGTCTTCCACTCGCTCAGCGTCTTGTTAAGGTCCGCCCGTCGGGACTTGTCCGCTGCCAGCGCGAGACACGCGAAGCTATGCGGCAGGCGGTCAAGCACTGCGCAGACGCCATAAGTCTTGTCGTCAGAGCTCGGATAGAAAGTCATGGTTGCGGCCGGCTTCTTCAGGAACAGCTGCACGCGGACCAACTCGCATAGTCGCTGCACACAAGTCAGGAACCACCGCAAACACTGAATGAGAACAGTGCTCCACCAAAGGGCATCCCCCTGCAGACTGCACCCGCCCATACAGTAATTTTTCCCGTCTGCTAGCACAACCCACCTTCCAAGCCTTGTCTGCTGGCAGCAGATCAAGTGCGCGTTGCAGAACAGGCGACTTCGCAGACCGCATATGTTTGCGCCGCGTGCGAATCTGTGCCACGTCCTCGAAGTCGTCGTCGTCGTCCACCTCATCGTCATCGTCCTCAACCTCAGCCACAGCCTCGCCACAACGCTGACGCTTTGGGTTCATGCATCCCTGTCCCGGCTCCCTCTGCCGCTCTGCTTTGCGGCGACGAGATCCCCCATCGGACTTCGCCAGTGCCTCCAAAAGCAAGGTTTCCAAGCGGGCAACCTTCTTCGCGCTCTCGTCTTGCGACTTAAGCAAACTCCTGAATACTCCCGCGGAAACGCGCATCTCCTCTCCATTGGTTGGGACATCAGCGTTCTCGCGGTTCGTGTTGGTTTCGAACATCGCGCGCATCGCGTCGCCCACATCCTCGTCATCCTCCTCTTCGAAAGCGTTGACGTCGCTCTCGATGCGTGCCTGGTCGCCCCCGTCAACGTCCTCGCCTCGATTCCGGAGAGCCAGACGCGGATCAACGTCGCTCTTGGAACGCGAATCTGGCGAGTCACTCTCCGCCGCTTGCTTGCCTACTCTGCCGGGAGAAGCGTCAGATGTCTCCCCCCCCGTAGTCTCTGAAGTGGTGGGAATGTAGACGGACGAGAATGTAAGTTCGAGGGTTTAAAAGCTCCATTGCGGAAGGAAGGGGAATGCCAACGGATTCAAAAGCATTAGAGACTGTAAACGCCTCAGTTCTTTGGAACAATTCGAGCAACATGCGCAACAAACCCGTGATTACCATCACCAGCAGATTTTCCGCCACCTCCCGCTCTGGTAAACGTCAAACGCTTAGGCAAAGCAGTTCCCCGAGTCCCCCTTGCCATGCGCCCACGAGAAGTTGCAAGCTATAATGCCGCGCGCAGGTACGCCGGAGGCTGGGACACTCGCCGTGCACGCCCCAAGTTACATGCCACAATAAGTTTCATCATTGTGCTGCTGCACCATACTGAACTGTCAGAATCCCAGTCACTAACCACTGGGATAAAAAGGCTTGTTTATATAGCGGGTGAGTGCGCCCATAACCCCCCAGGCCGACGTGCCTGTAACCCTTCCCTAGGATCATCGGGGATCCCCAGTGGACCTCTGACACCCCCCCCGCACTGGGATGCCCGAGGTGCACACACCGGGAATCGAACCCGAGACCTTCGCTCTGATACCATGTCAGAATCCCAGTCACTAACCACTGGGATAAAAGGGCTTGTTTATATAGCGGGTGAGTGCGCCCATAACCCCCCAGGCCGACGTGCCTGTAACCCTTCCCTAGGATCATCGGGGATCCCCAGTGGACCTCTGACATGAACTACATACATATAGTAGATTATAGAAAATGGAAATCATGCACAACGAAACTGAAGCACCTAACGTTCCTTCCTTCAGCACCCTTCCACCAGAAGGCACAGAAAGCTGTAGCAACGGAGCAGTCTAATGCTGATGCCATCACCGCCAGCCATCCCACACCAACGCCCTGACATGCGGGATGCATAAAAGGAAATCCACCAGCACACACCACTGACTCCCACCCTCTCAATCATGCAGCTGCCTGCCAGTTCCCTGCTCTGCTGCTTTGCGCCTTTCTCCTCGCTGTGCACCCTCACGGCCTCCACGGAGGTCTTGCCACTGCAATCTAGGTCGTCCTGGCCATCTGTCTAGAAGGCCAACTCACACCACCCTCCCTGTCCTGCTGCTGCCTTGCGCTTCTCCTGACGCCTTCCTGCTGATGTAGGACAGCCACAGACACATCTCCACGCCTCGTCTTCTCCACTGCAACAGCAGCCTTCACTGCTGCATCAGCCTTCACTGAAGCTCTTGGCTCGGGAATGAGCGACGTAAGCAGTCTTCGAGCCGCAGTTGGCACTCGGGTTACCACCTTAGGGTTTGTCACTGACACGTATTGCATTACAGTTGCAACCTCCACAGCAGGCACGAATGATGGGATTCGATAAGCGCTGCTGCAGTTGCTGCTGGCAACGCCCATGGCGCTATCCCTATTAGAGCTGCCACTGCTGCAGCTCAAGTCATCAGTTGAATCGCTGCTACTGCAGTTGCTGCTGGCAACGCCCATGGTGCTGTCCCTGTTGGTAGTACCACTGCTGCATCTCACTCAAGTCATCATTCGAATCGCTGCTGCTGCTGCAGGTGCTGCTGGCGACGCTTACGCAGCCCAGGCTGCATGTCAAATCAGCACTCAGTTTCCAGGAAGGTGCCGAGTTGCTGATGCTGCAATCGGTGGTGGTACCAGCACTGACGCGGCTGGTCTCGTAGGAGCTCTCACAACTGATGGCACTGCTCGTCGTGGCGAAATGAAAGAGCCCATAGCTGCAGATGAAGCTGTTGACAACGCTGCTGACCCAACCGTCGCCGCTCAATCCGCCAATCGAGGTACTGGAAGCGATCAGAGCATTGCTGTCCAAGCAGGGAGCGTCGGTGTCGTTGCTGAGAGCTGCTAATCTGCGCACGCTCGCTCTGCGGGAGCTCGTCCCCTGCGGGTGCAGACAGAGCTGAGCAGGTCAGCGCTGGTGAACTGGCGTCCGCCTCACCGCAGCTCAGGTTTTCCAGAACCTCAGCGCGTCAGCGAACGAGGGATAGTACTCCGCAGATGCGGTGTTGCTCCCGAGGATTGCTGCCATCCATCCACAGGTGGTGCGGTCGAAGCTCGAACGAAGCACGGACGATGGAAAGTTCCTATCGCAGAGGAAGACTGGAGCCTGTGGCAAAATCTGGAAGCAGTTTCGGGGACTCTGAGACTGGAATGCTGGGAGCTTGGAATGGTAGGTTACGCGCAGAGGAGACAGAGAGGCAAAGAGGAGGCAGGGGGGGTTGAGTGCCGGAAGGAGACGCGCAGGGCAAACCCCGTGAAACTCTCGCCTCCCATGAGCGGATCCGACTAACCGAAACCCGTGCAGCATGCTGCCCGGACTAAAACGTGGACCCTGAGAATCCTTTCCAAGTAAAACTCTTAGCAGGGCGAACTCACGGTGTTAGATGACAGAACACCCGCTAAGTGCTCGCAAATGAAACTTGCGATTTCTTCGTTGCCCACGAACGTGATTCACGATCTGCTTGCCCGGTGAACGGATTGCACGGAGAGGGTAGGGGTTGAGGAGGACAAGAGCTCGGCGTGAGAATTGTACATTCCGTTGCCCTTCGTGAATTCGTTTCTGCCGCGACAAGATCTATGATGCTCTGCGCCACCGTTCTACGGCAGGTGCGAAACAAATCTAGGAAAATGTGGACTATTTTGCGAGATTGGCGGTACAATCAAGTTACAAGACCTGGTTTCAAGGCAGCTTATCCTACGGATAGTTTCGAGGCTCAGTGTTGGGGACTTCGAAACAGATGGATGATTTACTCGTTACACAGGTCCGCACTAACGTGAAACTGCTCTCATGTTTTGAAGTAACTCAATATTATGAACGAATTTCGTTTTGAGAATGTGAAGTGTGAAACAAATTTCCAGCGCCCTCCGCGTTCTGCGCTAGTGACCCGCATGACAACAGGCGACAAGTCATCGTACAGTCACAGCGCGACTCACGGGTACCTGATCGCATCAAAGCGCCAGGTGCCCAGCAGGTTTTATGGATGCGGTTCGCAGGCAGGCACTGCCATACATTTCGCCGTCGCTAACGGAGTGCAGGGATTGTGCGCTGTAACGCTGTTGATTTGTGTTCCGTCGCGTGGCTTCTACACAGCAGCAAGCAACAGGCTGCGCCGGATGAAATTACCCAATGACTTTCTGGATTTCCTTTCGCGAACAATTGACCACGAGCACCTGAACATCGCGAATCCAACCCTCTCGAGCCTTCGATTTCGTAAGGGTGTGTAAGATCCGCTAACAGCTGATTTGGCTGCTTTTTGGACGACCATTTGGTCGACTAAATCCTTCGCGAACTCCGACCAAGTGGTCAACTATGCATTCGACCAGACTTCAACCCCATTTCGGCCAAATGTAACGAAGGTGTCAGATTTTCAGGGTGTTTGGTGGCCGGATGAGCGACGGAGTCGCACTGCACTCTAGAGTGTCACGACCCAAACCAGAACTCTGTTCGGGGGTTTGAATGCGGCGCATGTCTCGTGTGCAGTGTCACGTAACGTCGCATGTGCGATAATGCGGAGTCGCATGGTGACTGTAGCACCAGGTGGTCGACAACATGGTCGACCCTGGAGTCGACTGCCCGTCGGATGGCTATCGCTTTTTGAAACCGGCCACCAAATTTGTAAAAAGTGGCCGGATTTGACGAAGTGAACGAAATTAATCGCGAGCTTCACCAATCTGTAATTTTCGTGAAATCCGGCCCATTGGTTTGAAACGAAAACGGATCTTACACACCCTAAAAGTGCATCAGCATGTCTGTTTGTCTTTATGGACTTGGGCTCGAGCTGACACTCATTTATAATCCAGCCCATTTCACAGTTCCTGGGATCGCCTCAAATTGCAACCCCGAGGCGGCTCAATCCAGCCATGGCCCGGATGATGTCACTCTCTCGCTCGCCGTCGCTCGACGTTAAGCGCCTCGCCGTCGTCGTCGCTGGTAAGCCTACCGCACGTACACCGCGCCCTGACATATGTGACTTTTGAGTTGACTCAGAAGTCGCCTCGTCACTCGACGTTAGGTGTCTCGCCCTCGTCGTCGCTGGTGAGCCCATCGCTCCTACCGCGCGCGTGACGCACGCTGCCATGTCGCCTCATCGCGGGCCGTCCCTCTCGCCCAGACATGTCACATCGCCCAGCCGCCTTTCCCTGTCATGTCGCACCGTCGCCTTCTCATGTGTCGCACCGTCGCCTTCTCATGTGTCGCCCCGTCGCCTTCTCATGTGTCGCCCCGTCGCCTTCTCATGTGTCCCGTCACCTTCTCATGTGTCGCCCCGTCGCCTTCTCATGTGTCCCGTCACCTTCTCATGTGTCGCCCCGTCGCCTTCTCTACAAAGAATTTGGGCCAAAAACAATGCATGTACTAAGCGCGAACAATGTTCTAAGTACCTCGTGGGAACACACTTTTAGGTTTACTATGCGCATTGCACATGTATTCCCAGAGTAAGTTCAAAGTTACTCTGGGAATACTTGCGAAAGGATTCTTTGTGGTTTCCACGTTCATTGGAGGAGGATTGTAAGAACTTGATACAGAGTACACCGATAGAGGTATAGCAACATTGCGTATAATACACTGAGTTGAGGAAACACTTTACAACTACATTTTCATAAAAACATTTGTGCTTAAACCGGATGTGACTAAACGAAAATTAGACGTCATAAACCAATATAGTGTACAGTATTTAACAGAAACTACACCTACAAAACATTTAACGCTTATAGCTTAATTTTTTTTTTCCGATTACTGTTCCCTGTTCCAAAAATAATTGTTTGTGACGGCCTACTAATTGTACTTACGCTAAAATTACAACTCAGTTTAAAAACTACAGAACCTATGACCTTAGAGTTCATAGCATCATATTGACATGTGCTTCAAACAAACATGGTAGCATAACGAGCTACCCCTGAAAGCCAATGATGTACTTCCGACTTAGTAGGAAGACCACAAGCTGCGCATTGCTCGCACACAACCAAAACACAAACGATGCACCTGGTTGAGGGTGAAAAGCTACCTTTCAGCATAGAGGAAAAAAACAAAAAATACGAAGCGTTTCAACAATACCCACGCATACGCCAGTCGACATTAAAATTATTAAGTCTTCATTGTCCACACCGGGCGTGATGACTTGACTGATAGGTCGAGCGTTTGTACAATATAGAGCGCCATAACTGCGAACTTAGGATAAACAGACAAAAAAAAAACTAGTGGATAGTCAAGGACTCTGCACAATAGTCACACGTATTCCTTAAAAATAGATGAGAAAGAGGCGCGGCGTAGAGATAGTACATTGATCGGAGTGGCCTTAGCTCGATCAGGAGCACAAGGAGTCGAATGTACCGACGGCAGAGATGGCGCGGCAGCGTGCGCACTTGCTGGGCACCGCGCTGGCGCTGGGATGGTGGCTCGTCGTCGTTGTCGCGCTCGTCGCGTGCCGCCCGTCGCTTCTAGTCATCGTTGTCGCGCCCGTCGCTCGGCGTAGTTGTCGCGCCCGTCGATCGCCGTCGTTGTCGCGCCCGTCACTGGGGAACGCCGTGTCGCTTGAAGCCACACACGATGCTGCTCACATAGTAATCTGTTAGAGACAGGGGGCGGAATGGTAAAATAAGAGAAACGGGAGGGGCGGAGAGTTAGTAAGCAAGATTCGTTAAACAACAGTGGAAAGAGTGGGGCAGACAGGTACACAGCGGCTCGCTGTGAGATCAGTTTGAGCAGGAACACTAGGAGAGCAAGCTACTAGCTTGGGAAATGGAGAGGTTGGGAGACGAAGGTATGAGCGGGCACCTTCAACGCACAGAAATGTCTCTGGTGCTTGAAAGTGGGCCACTTCAACGCTCTCATTTCGGCTCACAAGCCGATAAGCTTGCCAGCTGTGCCAACGATGCGCGGTTGGGGCTAAAACAGAGGCTCGCGAATGGACGAGTTGAGAGGCGATGTGGTTACTGCTGCTCGTAATTGCTAATCGCGGGGTTGCAAAACACGTGCTGGGTGTGTGCTGTAAAAAACCTTCGCGTCATGGGGGATGGGCTCGTACTGACGTGTCACACCTTATCTTAATCCACAAGGACCTCTCATCTCATCTCTGTAGATCGAGTGGAACTTGTATGAAGTGAAAAAAGAATCCATATTTATAGTATCGAGTGAAACTTGTAACAAGGATAATACCACCACACGTCAAACAACCAGCGCGGCCAATCAACACGCGCTTGTCACAGAGTGCAAGGCCAATCAGCACACGCTTATCTCAGAGTACACCTGATGCCTGTTTGAGCCCCTCCCGGTTGCCTTACGAAGGGGGCGTATAAGCTGTCACGAGCATTTCGCATAAGTTTCGGCAATTCGCAGCTAGCTAAAAATGATTCGCATGTGCTTATAAACAAGATCTGTAACCTAGTTTGACTTCAGTCTCCTCTGCTTGACTTCGGTCTGTACCTAGTTTGACGTCGGTCTGTTCGTTACTTCTCCATTTTTCCAGCGTCCCAAAGTTGTCCCCAAGAGTCCGAACGGACTCTTTCTGGACGGATTCCGGACGTGCAGAAAAAGAGACTTTTTGGACCAAGGCCTGCTACATTCCGGAGTCTGTTTTAGGTCCGACCAAAGAGTCCGCGAAGAGTCCATTTGGACAATACGAAAAGCGAAGGCAATATGTGTACATCACGTGTTAAACTGTATTATGCTTGTAGGCTGTAGTGGGGTAGCCAACATGGGGTACAACCCCAACTAGGGTTACATATTTGTACCCAAACTTCTGCTAGTTCATTCATTCTTGCCTAGTTCTTCTGAGATGGTATCAGAGCAGGAGGTCCCTAGGACCTGCCGACCGTTTTTTTTTTAAGGGCCCACCACCGCTCGCATGCGGTTACCACGCTACCCCGTGCCCTAGCCTCGTAGCGCCCTCGTGCGCCCTCGTTAGCGCCCTCGCGCGCCCCTCGTTAGCGCCCTCGCGCGCACCCTCGTTAGCGCCCTCGCGCGCCCCTCGTCAGCGCCCTCACGCGCCCCTTACTAGCGCCCTCGCGCGCCCCTTCACTAGCGCCCTCGCGCGCCCCTACAGGCACACTGTCAGGTCTCTACCTCCCCTCGTTCTCTACGAACTTGGTGGCAGGTAGTGCGCTCCAGGACGGGGGTGTTCACTAGTTCACCCCTGCTTACGAGCGCGTGACACACTGCACGTGTGCTCGGACGGGCCGTCACCTGGCTACCTTCACTCGGCAGCCCGGGTCGGACCTGTACACACTGACCACTGAGTCCCCTCAGGTAGCTGCGTCTGCGTCTGCGTCTGCGTCAGGTCAGCTGTCCGCCCCCTGCTCGTGTCGCTCTCT